TAAGTATGCTTGCTTCATCTGTGCAGGAGTCTTACATTTGGTTCTCGTTGACACTGCATATCTTAACCTCAGCAGCTGGATATAGCTTAATTCGTACGCATACCAATTTAATATGGGGTTCCATACAATGTTTTTTTTTTTTTATCCTGGGCTCAAACCATCAGAAGCACAAGACACACGAGTGGCATTTTACCACTCGTACTGCAGGCATTTATGCTGTAGGTGCTGGCATCTTACCTAAGCAGACATCTGCTTTCAAAATATGCAATTTTTTAAAAATGTTTTTAGCTATGTACCTTTTGAGTTTTCAAGCCAAAGTAGAGCATTGTGATAGCACTCGTTTGTGTCGTCGGCCCAGATCCAGGGGTGGAAATTCGACATTCCTATGGTAGGCACCAGTCTACTCATAGGATGATTCCTGTGGATGTCTCACCAAGTGGTATACATTTTATCGGCCTTAGAGGGCCGATGGGCCAAGTCAACCCCTGACTGGGATGTGAAGTGGCAATCTTCCAAGTGTGAGCCAAGAGTTCAGCCAACAGCTCAGCACTGTGACTTCTTACTTACTCACAGCCTTCATTACGTAGATTCGTGAGAGATTTGAATCAACACGTTGAGTTGAGTGTGGAATCAGGTGCTGCTAAAGCCATGAACAAATATACACCACAATGTTGTTTGTTATTGTTTCACATCCTTTATAATTCCTCAAGGAAAAGTATTAATTGTGCTTAATTATACCCATTACGGTGGTTCTCCTCTATAATGTCTCATCATTGTTGGTTCCGTCTGTTTGCCATTCGAATCCTGCCTGGTCATTAATTAGGGCAGTTGCTAAATATATTTTTTCCATACCGTGGCTGTTTAAGACCTCGTTACATATTTGTAAGACGAGACGATTGTATTCTGAAGATTACGGTTAGACATTTAAAATTAGTGTACTCAATTTTAAAATTGAGAAACATAAACACGTAATAATCCTATGCTTTCAGCACAATAATTGGGATAGAAATTAATGATTTAATTTATTCCTGCATACCTTATTTTATATGTCATTATGGAAAGCTATTATAGTGCTTAGGAAAACAAATATATGCAAGTCATTTGGGGCATTATGCAAGGAGTTTGACGATAATACGTTTTAGAGGCCTATTATATTTCATGTGCTCGCTGTTCACTGAAATATTCAATGGTAGCAGAAGGAAGCATTTTTTCCACCGGAAAATCAAAACGTAAAAAACGCTGCCAGTTCATGTCCAGATTGAATTTGTCAACTTAACCCATCATCCCTATGCAGTTGCTAAAACAAACACCGCTTTGTGGGAAGTGTACAAGATGGCTGCTCTCCTGTGCCATGAGTTGCGGATTCACCACCAGCCACAGAACTTGATTCACCACCAGCCACAGAACTTGATTCACCATCAGCCACAGAACTTGATTCACCACCAGCACACACGACTTGCCGTCCACGATGCCCGAACCCGACAAGCGCCAAACGAAATCGACGTCATTAAGGCTGATCCCCGACGCTGGAACGAACACACGTCGCTTCACCCTTTCCGCTCCCCGCACACGGAATTCATTTCCAGCAGATTTTTCACAACGAGCCAGCGGTCCGACGCACTCTGCTCAAGGCAGTTGCAGAATTATCCGCGCGGAAGGGCACTCGGGCGAAGCTCGGACTTTGCCCCGACGCACCCTCTGGCATGTGTTGGCGACTCGCTGCAATGAATCCTGCGCGCCTTATAAATCGGACACGTTTTAATTTATTATTGCGAACAACAGTTGTCTCGTGGAGAGGGCTGCTTCTTGAATCAGAATATTTATTTGTACTTGAGGAATCCGATGAGCTCTTAAGCTCTTTTTCAGTATGTCCAGTAGTAAGAACGTTACAACGACATATAGTACAAAAACATGATGGTAGTGCAAAGTATAAGAAAGGTAAACAAATTACCACTGGGTCTGGGCCACGAGTCAGTCGAGATGAGCGCACACTCGTTTACGGTCACTCGAGCAGAGAGACGCTCTTGAAGGGTGGCTTGAATGTGCTGCATTGAACGTCATTAAGTGAGAAATGTGACATTTAACACGGAAGCTTTCGCAACCAATATTATAATTCATGAAGTTTTTTTTGGGGGGTGCGATTAGTTGAGTTCAGGCCCTCTGTATAATTTATATAACATATGAGATGTTATAAATAGACATTATTTATTTATCTATCAACTTTCATGGGTCTTCCATGCCTCTGATGTAGAAAGCATATGGACACATTGTAATGAATACTTTAACATCAGTAACTTCTATGATGTCCGCTTAACCTTACACCGCATACTCTAACATCAAAATGTAATTGTCCGTTGTACTCGTACATGCAGTGCTTCCTTGACTTATTTGGTATGCAGTGCTGGCTATTTTATGACATTCTTTCATGCTCTACGGAGTGACCAGCCTCTGCCAGGGGAATGTGGAATTCACCCCTCTGAGTGCCTCCCAATTGCTCTCTGAGCTGGGAGACATTTTGAGAGGAATGATTTGAGGTTCCTTTGCATCACCTCGCGAGGGCTGTGGATTATGTTTACCTATACCTCACGCTTGAGAAGCGTCTTATCTTCTCCAGGCCAAGAAATAAGTAGGTGAATAAAAATTGCCAAATAGAATGCTTTTCATACATGCTTGGCTTGAATTCAAGCGGCGTCTCTGACAGCGCATGATAAAAATTTACAGCCAAAGGGTGCTATTATATTGGCTCCTGCAGTGCTGTCTGAAACGCTTTGTCCAACTGCTGCTGTTTGTCATTTACAACCAGGCCCTCCGAGTATTGCAGAGAGAGATGCTGCCGCTGGCAGGATTGAGAACATTACCTGAGCGGTGTTACATTAACACGAGTAGCAGAGGGCAGCGGTCGAGTTTGCACGCACAATATGTGCGCTCGTTAAAGGGAGCTTCGCGTTCTTAATTTTTTTTGCTGGGCGGGGTGCTTTGTTGCATCACAGGACCGTGAAAGGATGGCGATGGTTTGGGAGGCGTTCATCCAGCAGTGGATCGATCATGGCTGATGATGATGAGAATACTGCATGAAATAAAATGCTGCCACTGCCATTCAATTGTTGACCTTGCAGTGTTATGGTTATGAATTCAATACCAGCAATAGGTTGACTCAACCCATCATCCTTAACGAGTCCATAGAATTGGTACTAATCAGGTCTGATCGTTTGTCGAGGCTGAAGGCCTGTATGGAATTTTGTAATTTCCCACTCCTCTCAACGTGGGTGAGCACTGACCCTTGTTCATTTGAACAGGCAGGTTCCTTTGCATTACTATTTTAATGCAACAATTCATCCAGCACCTGTGCATGAACTGATTTCATCACTCCATCTCCTTCTCTCGGGTGCTTTACAATCATTGGCTGTCACACTTGACCATCATCCAGCAATGCTCTAGTGATGTCTTCATGCCCAATCTAACTTATTTATCTTAAATAGTGTGGATGATGGCATTAACCCGTGGATTGTCATTCATTATTCATTCAACACAACTCAAATTAGCACGGTTGGCTATATATGGTGCAAAAGAAGTTCTAAATACATAATTCATATTGCGTATAATAATAATGCCGATAAGTTTTCAACAATCGTTTTTATAACATGAAAGTTGGACACACCATATGGGTCCGTGAGGTAGGTGTGTGGACAGAATGCTTTCCCTGGAGCCTTGGCACTGACAGAAGGGAAACAATGATGAAGAGGCAATTTAGTTGTACAGCGCAAGAAAATCACACCACGATTAATTGGAAAACATTCTGCCAAGCAAGCAGGGACAAATGTAGTCGCGAACCTTGATGGGGATGGTGTGTAATAAATAGCGGAGAAGGGAGGGCAGGGGTGCATGGGTTGGATGGATGTTGCATTATTTTTAAATGGCGTTTCCACGAAAAGAATAAGGATGGCGGGAAAGTTTGTTAATAATCATGAGGACATCACAGTGTAGAAATAAATGGCGAACATATCCAGAAACCCAATGGAACCGTTATAAATCCATCGTCTATGATCATTGGACCAGGATAAATAGTTCACAGCCATTCTGTATGCAAACTAAATCGTGGTTTAGGATTCATTTCCTTATTTTGAATCCTATTTTTTTTCACCATTCTGGAATGCGTTGCTGCTCATTGCTGTTGTGCAAAGCTGCTGTGGCAATATCTCGCGTGCAGTGCTGCCACACCATGGAGTTAGAGCACACTGTCACGCAATGCTGCTGCACCAAACCAATGTTAGTGCACATCACCGTGGCAAGTACGATACATCACACCGCACAGATACCCGACCGTGGCAAGGAACATTATGCTCTTGAAAGATGGGGTGTGATTGTGCGGAGGGGAATAATGGAGTAGGCAAAGTACTAGACTGCCAACGAACAGCAGTTGATTTCTGGCCATGTGCATTTACAAAGTAACACATTCCTGCGGAGGGAGCTGGTAGGAACGTTGGGTTGCTTGGTCAGTGGTCAGGGTCAATGGCGGCGTGGTGTATTCCGCAAATATGGCCGACTGTGAGGGTGGGCACAAGCCGTCATGAGTAGGTTAAACGTTGAGTTTTATAAGGGCACCACGGTGTGACCAGCCCCTCCCCACCCAGCCCCACCCCTCCCACCCCCCACCCAGCCCCACCCAGCCCCACCCCTCCCATTTTTGGATGCACGACGGACGGACGGACACAATAATCCCCTGTGGGCTGGTGGAACCAGGTGGTTCCTACCAGTAAAATTGGTATCTGAACAAGGCTTGGTGCTCCTGCTATGTCAGCTCAATCTTGTTCTTGGTTTGGTGTGATTGGTATCAGCACTGGGAATTGGCTGGATGCAATGGCCCCACTTGGCCGCCTCGCATTTTACGACGGCCTCAATATGTGCTCGCGTACAAACCTTGCTATAGCAGCGGTCTCTGACTAAAGTGGTGGATCTTTGTGTGCTATGTGTGTTATGTGTGCGATGCGTGCGATCGACAGACGGTCCTCGGCCCTACCCAGAAGGAGGTGGTGTCACTCCGAGCCTTCATGCTGCTGTTCCTGAAGCAACTCATTCTCAAGGTAAGTGTAGCCCGCAATCCATTGGAGAACCCTCTTCTTCCCATGGAACAGCTGAGCCAAATTACGTGTGCAAAGTATCCAGAATCCAATGACATTAAATCTAAAGTAGGCAGAAAACTATATCTCCACTGTTAAGCCTCAGAGCGTGATCTTGTCCAGTCTCAAGAGCTAAGTGCAAGAAAATTCTGGTTGGTTAATGCAACATGGCGGGGAATACAAATGGATATCTGATGGTTGGTATAGAAAGTGGTGTGGGTTTTTGAGTTGTGGCTATCATTGCTGTCATCTTTGTTGCATCTATACCAACAATCAAGAAATGTGTCATATGCTCAACATCTTATGAACTGCAAAATTAATTTTATACATATATAATTTTTAAATGTTCACATTAAAATGTATTATCTAAAATTTGGCATACATAGGTGTTTAAAGTATCATCAAAATATTCAGCGACCTTCGATTTATTTATAATGCCATGTGGCAAAGTTATAAGATCGCAAGTTTGAATTTGACAATGTTTTGGCTCATCATCGTAACATCCGTATAGGGCACATAAAATTAGTACTATTTTGTGGGAAGTCTACTATTACTATTTGCTAGTATTTAAATTTTACCATGTAAGGCCCATTGAGCTATATAGCTCTTTTTCAGAAGCAACCTGGCCACAAATAATAGCTTAACGAAGTGGCTTATCATGTATAATCTATAGCAGCCAAATACTCTAAATGCACGATTCCAAAATGTGGAGTGAAAAACCAGAGGATCCGGAGAAAAATCTACGCAACCACAGAGAGAGCATGGAAACTCCAAATATACAGGAGGCGTCAGGGTCGAGATTGAACCCATAACCTCCTGTATACCGGGCGAGGTAGTTAACATTATGCCACCATGGCGTCCCCAAACAATGGAATTCTTCCCATCACTGGTTCAGAGCTGTCAACAGAGCTCAGCACCGTTCATTGCGCATTTGACCAGGGGGACGCTTGACATTTTACTTTGTCCATTGTTGTGTGTGGCGATTGCATCCTGGAATGACACTTACTATGATCCAACTGGATTGATTCTCGTGTTGATTCGCAGGTCTTGCTGTAAAAAAAGGTTTGACTTGTTATTGGTTCTCACCTGGTTGTAAGCAGAGGGATTGCCTTGGAAAAATATTGCAGATCGAGACTTGGGAAGGCAAAGCAAAATCTTGACTTTCCAAGATAGTTTTTGACAGTTCCAAATACACAATCACCTATTTGCACCCGTCACAATCAGACCGCGATTGCCCCCTTTGCTGAATGAGATAACCAATTTCCACTGTGGGCGAGCGTGCTAAAAAGCGTCCTGTGGCTGAGACGGCAAAATTTAAGTTGCAATATTTGGAGGCATTTCACGTCTTGAGCCCTGTTCTTGGTGGCCTTTGAGCTCAGGCCCCATTCAATTTGAGCCGAACAAAAAAAAAGTGTCAGGCAACGACTCAGGGGTTTGTTTGCAGGGACCGTGTAATGGTCAGCACACAAGGGGACAACGTAATTGAATGCGGATGAACTGCTACAAAATTGATCAATTGCAGGATATCTCATGAGTGTCTTCGAGGCAATGATGAAAACATAAGAGTGCACTGGTTGCAATACAGGTTCAATTGAAAGGTAGGTAAAGCAATAAAGCAAAGTGCGGGGGGGGGGGGTCTTACTGAGCAACACACATTCAAGGTGTGTGTACATCACAAGCATATTCTGCCGTGTATGGTACAATTGAGGTGCAGTATACGAGTTTTGTCATGAGACAACCTTTATTGCAAAGCGTCTTTAGTCAACAGCACATCATATTAGATATGGGGATGGGCCCTTAAGATGGACACCACATAAATTATTCTGAAATCTCTTCGATGTAGTTATCTCTCACGTGATTTAATTGGTCACTTGATAAAAGTAAGTTCTCAAAGCTTGTATATGCTTATACCAGTGGTGCTAGCTATACACCTCTTTGCACTTAGTCTTTTTTTAGCAAATCGCACCTTTTTTTTTAAACCTAACCAAATTCATCTTCAACATTGTCTTATAACAGAGACACACGCGGTAGTAAGTAAACAACCATATTAGGCCTTAACCTTCAGAATTGATAGAGGACAGCATACTGTAATGCAGTGCCTCTAAAACACTTTGAAATTTGAAGAGAGCTGCGGTCATAATAACAATTATGATTTGAGTTCATGTTGCATCTAGATTGTACGCATCTCAAGATGCTGCACAGGGCAAGTGCGTGCACGTATACAACACGTTCAAAGTCATAGCTGAAAACAAAAGGAAAAAACACACAAATTACGCAGATTGAGCAGTCAGTGGCGAGACACAGCGCACTGTTGTCATCTCGACCACTGCAACCTCACACAGTCGGTGAATTTCACGGCGAGATGTAATGATCGAGGGCACAATATCTCCCATTTAAATTTCGATTTAAAGCTTTCGTGACTGCAGGGATTCATCTTCTTGGTTCTTTCGGTAAAGTCACGTAGAAGGGAAATAATAAAATTTAAACATAATAAAATAATATAATAAATTAAATTAGTATTATGCTTCATTTAATAATTAAAACAAATTTTTATTATGCATTCGTTTTATTATTTTATTATTTCCCTTCTACGTGACTTTACCGAAAGAACCAAGAAGATCTCCCATTTACTCAATCAGAAGCAAAACCAGGAGGGGGAGATGATGTGGAAGGAGATGGAAGGGGAAGGGCGCATCATAGTCACGGAGTGATGAGGATGGAAGTGAAAGGCAGTGCACACGAGTCGTGCCGCTCACGGAATTTTATTGTTCCGCTCAGCGCCAACGTGAACACGTGGAGAGCACCTTCCCTATTGTTGACGTCCATCCTTTTCTTCTCCGGTGCCCCGAGTCTTTGTCTCGCATCTCCTTATAAACGCTCTCTTCTTCTCTCCTCTCTCCCGTCAATCTGTATGTTTCTGGATTTTTGTGGGGCGCCACGGTGGCTCGGAGATGTTATCTCCCTCACCTGGTATGCAGCAGGGCGTGGGTTCGGTCCCGACCCTGACACCTGCCTCTTCGGAGTTTGCATGTCTCTCTCCGTGGTCGTGTGGATTTTTCTGTGGGTCCTCCGGTTTTTTCCCTCCACATTTAGAAACACGCGCTATACATTTCCACATGATAAGCCGCTTCATTGAGCTGTCTTTTGTGGCGAGTTGGCTTCTGAAAAAGAGCTACATAGCTCAGTGAGCCTTACCTGGTAAATTAAAAAATGGTTTCGTTTTTCCCCCAAATCCCCTCGCGCCCTTCTTGAATGATTTCTCTGGGCGTGGTCCCGTGCCCTTTTCGTGACCCCCAGACTCAAACCTGGCGCGTCCTTGCAAGAACTCTACATAAGTATTCAGGGACAGAGGAGAGAAGGGTAGAGAATCAGCAGCGTGGTTATCTTCTGGGGACATTCTGAACATCTGAGGAGTGCCCTGCCACAGTTTGGATGTCAGATTTTAGGTTTCACCAAACAGTTTTAGATGCCATTAGTTATTGCGTAGCAAATGAAACCTTAAAGAGTAGAACATAGATAGGTAACGTTATTTTAATCCAAACTTACATCTCTCATATGTACAGTGCAGTGTCAACTTTGCTACATCATCGTGGCTCTGAAAGCCAGGTTTGCAAAATGCATTTGTGCAGTGTCCCATTGCGGCCATTGTTCAGTCAATGCTTTGGCATGAATACTTCAAACTGGAGCTGCCATCTGAGGATTTATTTAGACATTCCTTACAGGCTAAGTTGCGAACCGAGGGCTTCTGAAGTGCCAGCTGAGTTGGCTACGATTCATTACATTTAGCCCACAGCTGCCTAGAAAAGTGAGCGCGCCGTTTGATTTCCCTGCACTGACATGTAATCTTACCTAAATTGGTGAAATTGGGCCAGGGAGCGATCTTTAGGAATAAGTAAATGTTTCCTTAACATAATAAAAAAAATACCTACTCTGTACTCATTATAGATGTTGTTACAATGGATTTTTATATATCGTTATCTTCTTGTTTGGTATTTGTTGATTGTAGCTTCTTGAAATGCAATGACGAATGCACACCATGGTTATTTTTTTTTGTTAGCTTTACTACCCGGCTTTGCCCGAGACTTGGATTCTTGTCTTGGATTAATACACGGCCTACGCAGAGGGTGGGAAGGGGGTGCGTGACGTCAGCGGGCACACTGCGTGACGCTGCCGCATGCGGGTGACAGTCACAGATGTGACGTCACCCGCTCACTTGCCGTGCAAAATATATTCATTATTGCGCCCCCCCCCCAAAATACAAAATTTGATACGTTTTGCATTGTTTACAGTCTGGAAGCTGTCCACATGCCAAATTTCAAGTTTGTTGCATGTTGGGAAGTGTGCTAAACATTTCGAACAGACACATATATTCACAAATTTCCCTTTTTTATATATAGATATCCAACCCTTATTTCCCTCCTCTGCATGGGTGATGCTCTGGCTCGTGCACTTTGCCTCATATTCTGGAAGTTGGCACTTTAAATCCCGGTTTGGGGTTGCCTTAGCCCATCATCCTTCTGAGATCGATAAAGTGAGTACAGTAAAGCCTTTTGAATCCATGTACGGTGAGGCTCCTCCCCCCATTAACAAAAAATCAACGGCACGAGCGGCGTGGGTGCACTCATGAAGCTGCTCGCAGGCAAATGCGGCATCTTGTCGCCACTTTGCACCACTTTGCGCTACGGTGGCGAGATGTTAACTACCTCGCCCGGTATGCAGGATGTGTAGTGGGTTCGATCCTGACCCTGACGCCTGTATATTTAGAGTTTGCATGTTCTTCTCCGTGGCCACGTGGATTTTTCTCCAGGTCCTCCGGTTTTTCCCTCCACATTTAGAATCAACATGCGTTGAGAGTATTTGTCTGCAATACATTTCAACATGATAAGCCACTTCATTGAGCTGTCATTTCTGGTCAGGTCGCTTCTGACGAAGAGCTATATAGCTCAGTGGGCCTTACCTGGTAAAATATTCATAGTTTAGTTTGGCATGCGGCACCCAAGGGCACGTGTCCGTTGAGTGCCCCAGTCTATCACATGGCCTGCTATTGGTGACCTTGCACCCTCTCGTTTATAAATGTGTTTAAGGTTTTAACGAGATATATTTCTTTATCATTGCACTCAATTTATTGCGACAATCAATATTCCGAAAACGAAAGAGTGAACCTCAGAATTCTCACTCTGGTGTTTGTTAGAGACTCAATTTAAGCCATGGTGATGTTTGCACTGATGGTAAATTGTAAATATTTACTTACTATTCATTGCATGTTTATGCAATTTAAGTGGTAAGTGATAATTACATTTCATTCAAACGTAAATTTGCTGAAAATAATTTTCAACATGCTGGAAAACCACATTACTGGAAAGGCTGATTCCCCCCCCCCCCCCGCCATTATTAATTCATGACGACATTGTGAGTGGTCATCACAGGTTACCCTTGACTAGAGGCTCGCGCGAGCCAGAGGAACGTGAAAAGCTCACCACCGGTTAAGGCAGGGGTCGGGAACCTTTTTGACTGGGAGAGCCATAAAAGCCAAATATTTCTAAATATCTTTCATTGAGAGCCATATAGTATTTTTAACGTATAATAAATTAAATATGTCTTACTTTTAATGCGACTTCTGGTCACGGGACCCGTGACCCGTGAAATTTATCTTCATAACTCATTTCTGTTTACTTTAAAATGACACAGTATTATTAAGCAATATCACAAGTATTTTAAAATCAGTTTCAAACTGATTTATTTTTTTCAACTCAAAATTGTCTGGGAGCCATATGCCGTCACCGGAAGAGCCATATATGGCTCGTGAGCCATATATGGCTCGTGAGCCATAGATTCCCGACCGCTGGGTTAAGGGCTGCCAACAGAGATGCGCACCACTCTGGCTTGAGAACGGAGAGGCTTCTTCACTTGAACATCTCTTTCGCTGCCTCTCATTTTCCCACCACGTGCAGGCATGCTTTTTTTCTATCAACAGCGGCAGGCAATTTCTCTCTTAGTACAAACTATACACTGATACATCCCATGCCATAGAGGGCACCTGCTAAGTCAGATATCAGAGGGTGCTCCCCTGTTAAATCAGACGCTGTAGAGTGGAACAGCAAGAAGCCACACTGCATGATGCAGTACGCGCAGCCTTTGATGAAATTGCAAGAAACCATAGCAGTGGCATGGTGCAGCTTAAAGGCTCTTGTTGCTTCATGGACACGATTAGCTCAGTTGTCCATGTACGGTGCAAAAGAAGTTCAACATACATACATGCATACGTGTCTGTTGAATGGCGAGTGCAGGCATTGTGTGGGTAACCCGTGTATGATCTCTGCTTTTCTGGATGTTCCTCTGGCATTTCAATCTGCACTCTAGACCTGTGGGTAACTTCATTTTCTTCCACTGCATTGCTCAGACTCGCGAGTATGCATGAGATGTGCCACTCTTCGTGCGTTATGAAAATTACTGCCAGCTGGATAGCTCCTGAAAATAACAAAGTTCAGCGGATGCATTGGTTGTTTATCTGGAATATGTTGGTTTTTTTCCCCATGGTGAATGGCTTGGACAAGATTGACATTTAAGAAGTGAACTCTGCCATGGAAGGGGAAGCAATCTTTGGGGAGAGTTTAATTGCGAGCTCATGCATGCGTGTGCATTTGTCAGCATGGGTGGGCATTACAAGGCAGTGTTATGTACGCTTTCTGCACGCTGTCTCCAGCTTTGTTCTGTAAATCTTAATAATACTTCTGAAAATAATAAGTTACGATCACTCTTTTGCGAACTAGCATATAACTGAGGAATTGCTTAATATTATTTTTGATTGACCGTTATGATTCAACACCATGCATTTTCAAAACAACACAATCAGCCAACACAATCAGTACAGTTGGCTACGTAGAGTGCGAAATAAGTTCAACATATATACAGGATAACATATTCCTTTAATATCAACTCTTTATAATATATAGTTTATGTCATGTTCAAAAAGCGAATTATATAACTTCATGAACACTCAGCAGTCTTGCCATAACTAATTCGCTTATTTGGCAGTATTGGTTGACTTCTGTCAGCTGCAAGACAGTAGTGTACAAGGTTAAATACACGTTTCATCGGAAGCGTCACAAATTATTGGCACATGTGAAAGCAACTTGTAATCGTTGGCGAACTGTGCTATGAACTCATCCACCCCATGGCCTGGGTTCGATTCCTGGCCCTGCACGTGGAATTTGAACCTGCCCCGAGTCTCCCACTCTGTCATTTAAGCCTCAAATGACGAGCTGCAAATGGTGCTTTGTAAACATCAGCAGTGGAGAGACAAAGATGGCCGGTTGTGGTTCTGACCACAGCACACCCTTGTCCGTCGTGCTGTCCCTTTAGAAGGTGATTGCTCGCAGGACGTTTGCAGCTGTGGTCTAGAATGATAAACACGGATTTTGTGGTCTTCTGTTGCTGGCCATTTATGAACTTCTGTCGGGCTTTAGCACAATGTCAAATTACTGAGCCAACAACTCTTGACATCCAGTGACCTCATTAAAATCCAGAAATAAGTTTTAGGATATAAAGTTTGACTGTTTATTAATGATGTAATCAAAATGTAATTTTATTCCTGTAAAAAATAACTTTGCCTTTTTTTAATTATAAATAATAACCCAGCATAACAATTCCTTCTTTTTCATTTTAGAGATACCTATGCTGAAATAGTCCACTGAAATGCAAACATTTCTTTTGCAGGGATGTCCAGCCCCCATTTACAGAAGAAGACTTAAGTTTATGAGAAATAGCCAGGTAGGGGGTATTTTGTTGAAGTGAGAAAAACAAAGACTTGTAATATAATTTGTGAACAAAAACCGGGGCCATCATTCTCTGCTACGGAAGAGCGCCGCTGCAGGATCTTTCATATCCATGATATCGAGTAAAGAGTACTAAAGCTTCACCGAACTCAGAACACGTAAACATTTCTTAAAGTGCAGTATTATCTTTATTGTCTCTTAATTTTAGGCTATTAGCTTAAGGGAAAACAGTACTGCCAGTCCACGCACTGGGCAATCAAACACCACTTCAGTGAAAAACAAAAACATTTCCCCCTGATAGCCACGGTCAACACCAGGGCCCCAAAGAAGCTTAACGTCCATAGTGTTAAATAAATAAAACTTCCAAGATCACATTATTGCAGACACATTATTTGAGGCGATGCTGCTTCGTTAGCAGTGGTACAACAGGCACAATAAAAAAAAAATGTCAACACATTCGGCAATAACTTTTCGTGGCCTTAAAATAAAAAACAGGTGACGTTTCAGTGACGTTTCGGTCCCATTTTGGGCAATGGTTCTTTTTCAGTGCACATTCAGTCACGTTATTGCAGACAAATATGTTTCAATGTCACTCTAACGCAGTAGTAATATTTCATTCTAATTTGTGTGTTCGTTGTGTTTATAGTTTTACTGAAAATTAGCTTCCTTAACAGAGTATGGAAGAGTATGTGTAAGTGATGCGAGTAAGATAATTGGTTCTTTACCCTTCTATCTGGCAACAAAACTGACACCTTTTTGCAAGGAGTCATGTTTGCATAGACCGCAATACCTGCAGTCATAAATACAAACAAAAGACATAACTCTGATAATGTGCACTGTCCTTGAAGTTGATTGGTCCACACCCGAGACAGCTTTCCTTCGAGCCTAGTCTCATATGGGTTGGACCAGATGACGCCAAAAGGCGCACAACTCAAGGACAATGCACAGATGTATTTATGACTGCAGGTATTGCGGTCTATGCAAACATGACTCCTTGCAAAAAGGTGTCAGTTTTGTTGCCAGATAGAAGGGTAAAGAACCAATTATCATATTTTTACTGGCAAATGAGGTCCCCATAGTGTGATGCGAGTAAGTTAAAAGGTTTAGCAGAAGTGGTTGAATCAATCGAAATCTGAAATCAGATCTGATTATTTCAGGCTGGTCACAAATGGCTGCTGAAAATAACCAAAATAAACTTCCGTCATAATAAACGTGCCTTGTCACTTAATTTCGGAAATTTCAGCTGTGAAGTGAATTTTTTTGTTCTTTTGATTGCTATGCAACACACATTTTTGTGGTGCACATGAATAGGTGTCAACCATTGTGGATAAAAAGCCTACTCACGCGAATTTCGAAGTCGTTCTCTGATGACATTTTCTCGAGGCCTGTTGTACGGCACGTGCAGTTTGACGCAGGGATTCTGAACGTAAAATATCCCTGTCTCGTGATAAAACGCACCAACGGGATGTGATCAGCAGAGCAGAGAGACGTTTCGCTCGTCACATCGAAATGCAGCGTGCTTGTGCGCACACCGGCTCGGCCGGACATGCGAAGGAAGACAGAGAAAAATGCTTTTGCGAGGAGCGTTGCGTGCGTGCACGTGCGCGTCCGAGGATTCACGTGTGTGTGTGTGTGTATTGTCTGCGTGCGCAGGATCGGGGAGTCAAGGACGACGAACTACAAAGCATTCTCAACTACCTGCTCACCATGCACGAGGTGCCATGAGCCCCATGACCCCTCACCCCCACTCCGGTCCCTGCCGTCCCTTCTCTGCACGCACTCGCAGATTTCCACCGTTGCCACGGAGGGATGTTGACTCCTAATTTTGTGTTCTTTTTTTTTCTTTGTCTGGACCCCTCAACTTTCTTGTGCCAAAAACAGACAAGCAGAAAGAGCTGCAAGGTTGGTTGCATCTAGCATCAAACAGTATATGTTCGCTCTGATATCTCGAATAACAATGTAAGGGGACGTATTAAGAGACATGAAGGGAAGCATCAGTTTAGGATATGCTATATATGTGTTTGTGTGTACGCGTGAATAATGTGTACGCATGCACACAGGCACATATATGCAATCCATTCTGGATTCTACCTATAAACTGTGTTTACCACTACATGTTTTACATGTGTATTCCACTCTAGCCTTTTGCCTGATTGGCAATTTAGCAAGACTAGCAAAATAGTTTTGATTTTGCCCAATCTTATCACTTGGTGGGAAGTCAACCATGGCTGTTTTTTTCACAGATTGGCCATAGTCATGTGGAATTCTACCACTAACTTAGGAGCAGTATCAGTTAAGAGCACAATCCCATGCACATTGGAGCAGGAAGATATACGACGATTAAAATAATAGCAAAAACGAAAATGCGATGCAACTATGCATGATAACATCCTCATGGACAGATCCGTCTGATGAGCCGGTCATGTTCGGAGACGCTATGCAGATCTGCTTCTGAGTTTGCGAGTAAAGTCACGGTTAACTTCTGCCCTTGACTGATGGCACGGATAGAAAATTCTGCTCTCTTGGCTTTCAAATCTGTAAATGACGGGGGAAAAACCCATCATAGAAAACTAGCGCAAGCCCGGAAAACCGGCTGGCTTTTCAAGGAAACGCCATGAAAGTAGATAGTCTACGGCCCTCGGTTATTATTTCACAGAGATTGAAGCATCCCGAAAATGATTGCACTGATATTTGATATGGCATCTCTATCTCAGTGGGAACTAACTGCAACAGTGTGAATAGCATACATTGTGAAAAAAAGTTTTAAGCTACAGATAGCTTTTCTAAGAACTGGGTCAAGGCAGATTAGCCATACATTGGAAGCATTGATAACTCTAATTCCTGAATCTTTGCTTTTCCTGCACTCCATTCCATATGACATAATTTTAAATAAATACGGATTTATTGCATTCGGCAGCTGACCAAGATATGTTGTCGAGTGCATAAAATGGTCATATAAATGTGTTGGACCCGAATGTGTGGCATTGAAAAGCTCATAGTCCTCTTTTATTGTAACCCTATGGTGAAAGTAGCAGTAAAGGTGGCACTAGTTTCATCCCCCCAGGATAAATGATAAGTTGCCGCTGCCCCTGACCACAGTTTGAATTTACAATCTTCCGATTTAGAGCTGAGCTCTCTTAACCACAGAGTTACCCAGCCAAATGAAGTAAAATGATATCATAATGACAAAAAAATAGAAACTAATAATTAATATAAGAGGGGGGGTACATTCATTTGTGTGAATGTGGCCTCATGGGTGATGAATTTTTCATCACCCACTCGCTCCTAAGTGCATACAATCGTCTCAAATTGTTGTTTGAACTAAGTTTTGGTCAGACTCTATTCTGGGAGTCGTGAGTGACCACAGATACCCACTGACCAGTTAGAGCTGTGTACGTTTCCCTGTTAAAGATGGCCGGCCAGCATGGTGGTGAGTTGGCTGATGGGATTTGCCATTCCCATGTGGTGGTGTCCTCGGGACCCGTCTGCCACGAGTGTTGGTGTACTCTGCCCAAGGCTTACACTGCAACAACCTTGACTGGGATTGCTCGTGCCTCTGTGCGATACGTTTATGTTTAATGCACACATTATAGCCCTCCGATGTGCTTTTGGGTCGTACCGGGTGTTGTCAGCGTGCTGCTTGAAGTTTTATTTTGCATGCTGGGAGCTTCATTAGGAACTAATTTGGGTGTGTATTCCACTCCTTAATTGAGCGTTCGGTATTCAGCGCTTGAAGATGCTTCCAGAACGTGAAGCGAAATGTTATACATCGTTGCAGACGACGCGTAGTACAACCTTAAAGCACATCAGAGAGGTATACAACGCAGCCACAACATCTACACATTGGTCACGCAAGATGTATTCACGTATATAAAATATACGGTATATTTACCAAGAGAAGTTTTTTTTCTGGGTTTTGACGACTTCTGCAAAAGCATAATGAAACTGGAATGCCCCGAGGGAGACCCCCCGCACACATTCTCGAAAAGGTTTCCCAAACTCTGTGCACACCGTGAATATAACAGCTGCTTGATATCCCTCGAATTCTACCTCGCTGGATATGCATGTAAAACATGGGCACACACCACCACCAGTCAGTGTGGACAACTTGAAAGGCGACTTTCCCACAGATTGGCAGCAAGTCAATAAACCATTGGCCTCAGTGGATTGGTGCACTGCTCGGCGCTTGTAAACTGCCAGTCACGTGACGACAATGACAGGCTCTGTCAGACAGTGGGATTGACAGCGTTGTGGCACTCCCATACTGGCATTCTACTAAGCAGTCCAGTGGCACCACGATGGCCAGGTGTTAACTAACTCGCCTGATATACAGGAGATCGTGAGTCCGATCCTGACCCTGACGCCTGCTGTATATTTGGATTTTGCATGTTTCTCTCGCCGTGGTCATGTGTATTTTTCTCCAGGTCCTCAGGTTTTTCCCTCCATTTAGAGTGTTTGGCCGCTTAAAATTTCCACGTGATAAGCAACTTTGTTGAGCTATCATTTGTGGTCAGGACATTTCTAAAAAGAGCTATATAGCTCAGTGGGCCTTACCTGGTAAAATAAAAACATTTCGTTTATAGTTTCAGTTCACTTTAAGAAAGAGGGGTCCTCTCTACGCTCGCTCACAGCACGCAGCAGTCGCATGCATCGGTGCTCGTGTATTAACAGGGAGAGGTTAATGAATGGGACAGCCATAGAAAATAGGTCTCCTCCATTGTGGGATGAATTTAAAGTGACTATCTGCCTTGTTGAGGTTATTTATGGTGTAAACAAATATGGCAATGACTGTTATTGCCCTATTATCATCTTCCAATGTGCACTTTACAATATTAGTGGACATTGAAATTAATTTTTCCTTCATATATCTGCATGTGGCCATAGCCTGAGGCAGCCATATGTGCTTCAGTACTACACCATGTCTCTTCAATGATGCCTAAACTGCATAAGATACTTAAAGGTTAATGACTCAGAAAATGGAATGCATAGTTTTTTCCAATGCTCCCATGCCTGGTCCCATGGCATAAAAAATACAGGCGTTCTCTGTTTCGCAATGTCGACCGTTAAGCCACCTGCTGTTGACAAATGCAATTTTAAGAGTGAAACACGAAATGAGAGTGGTGATGTGGCCATCGTCACATCTCAGTGCTCACGTCTCACTCTGCACCTGCCTGGGCATACCCTAGGTTAACTCAGCCTTAACCGTTTAACTTGAGCAGTGTGCATTTAGGAGGTATGGATTGGTGGGTCGTCACAGGATGGGGGTTGCTGTTGCAGTGGCAGTGTTCACATCACCATCACTAACGCCTTCAGTCATAACCATCATTGTATTTTTTTTGTCTCAAGCATCCTAACGTCTTCGCTACCTTCGCTAGACATATATGCATACTGAAATTAAGATCAAATTGGGAGAAAAAGGCGTAACTTATTGTCAGTTTAAAAAGACATGAGCACAAGTGCTTCTGTAATTATCCCATGCAACAAAAAAACGATTCCGTAATCTTCTTTAACCACAGTGCAGAGTACCTTTACTTCCTCCACAGGCTGCCGAATAATTAGCAGTTGAGTGTCAGTGGGACACTGATGTTATAGGCCATTTGGCTCCTTCCTAGCTGTTGACTGGAAACCTGCAGCTGCGTGGCACAGTTGCTTATTTAACCCGCTGTTAATGAACGGTGTTCAGGGTGTGTGGAGATACAATTACGGGAGCCACCTCTCTGTTTATATATCCTGCAGGTCTCTACGTCTCAGAGAAGCTGCCATAATTTGTCTAAGACCCGTTGTTGCCTATTTATTCACATCAGCGGGAGACTGTCTACATTAAGATGGGACTTTTGATCTCCCGCTGGGGCAAGAAAGTGCCTCGCTTTGTGCGTTTTTGCTATTTCACGAGGATAGTATAGTGCAGGGAGCTCTTTCTCGAGGCATTTTCTCACTCTGATTTAAAAGCGTTTAGTTTGACGGTTGCAAAGATGCTGCAGGTCTGAGGTGGATGTCAAGAGCCCCAACTCTTTGGATAAGAATTATAATTCAAAAAGATGAAAGTGAGCGATTGTGACAATAACCTCTGTTGAGTCCTTAAACAAGAAATCACATTTTGGGTACAGAAGCAAAATAATAGCCGCATTAAAGTACATTTTGCAACGATGATTAAATTCCACTTGGAAATAAACAACTCTAAACGTTTCCGCTATCGCGTTGCGAGGGGTTAACAGTCACAACAGGGATGGGCACTCTTGCCTGACGCCCAGAAAGGGTTTGATGGAGAGGCTCCAGATGTCTTGGAAAGGCTTCTCCTTACTCTCAAATGCCAGGAAAACATTTTGCCAAGCCATCTGTTAGCTGAAGAGTTCTCAGCTTTTCTCAGGTGCAGAGGATACTGGCAGTTAGTTTCCATTCTATTTCGTAAATACACTTTTTTGTTTTGATGTCAAGATTGGAGCTTAGTTAATTTCAGTGATGATGTAAAATATTTCCTGTGAATCTGTAAAGTGATCATGCATATGCGAGCAGTAGTATTAACGGTTAGCGTGCTGCGCTACAAACCCGACGACCCGGGCTCAATTCCCACTCATGGCCAACACCAGTGACGATTATTGAAACCGATCCTGGGCCTCCCCTAGGTCGACTCAGCCTCAAATGAGTACCTGGTGCAGAGTGTAAACATCGCCACTTGGGGAGACAAAGGTGGTCGGGCGTGGTACTGGCCACCCACTCCCTAGTGTACCATTCCGGCCTTCATAGGTGCTCGCTAACAGCACTTGCACTTATACGGGGGGGTCTTTATCTTTGTATGTATATTTCTGAGAATGTCAGGCACGTAGTTGCTTTTTATTTTGGGGGTTGGGGGGGGCTAAGTAGTCGTGGGAAACCGGGTTGAGGAGCCAAGGGGACCCATGAAGGCTGTGTCTTGAGCAGGGTTCTAGCAAAGGCTTGATCTCCCTTTGATAATTAGTTACCCCTCCTCTGACTCTCTCCCGCCTCATGCTCCTCTGCTCCTAGTGCGTGTATTTAATGGACCGTGACCTTCGTTCACAATTTTACTTTTTGCAAAGTGGCACTTGTTTGATCAACCCACGAGAACGGCCGATTCAACCTATGACCAGAATTTGGACAGAAACCTTCAGATAATAGCAAAGCACGCTGTCACGCCACCGCGCCACCGCCTCGTCATTGTAAATCAGAATCAGAAAATGTATTTAGACTGGAGGAATCCGATGAGCTATTAAGCTCTTTTTCACAGATGTCCAGTTGGGGCACGGGGTAAGAACGTTACAACAGCGAGCAACACAAACACACGGTAGTAGTGCAAAGTACAAGAAAGGTAAACAAATCACTCAAACACAAACAAATAACACAAAACCATCCCCATCCTACCAGGCAAAGCTCACTGAGTTATTAACTTATTTTTCAGAAGCGACCTGGCCACAAATGATAGCTCAACATAGTGGCCCATCATGTGGAAATTTATAAAACAGCCGGGGCAAAGACGCAAACATTCACTGCATTGCACACGAATTGCATCTTCATTGTTACATCGCTATCATGCTTTATGAGATGTTCATTCGCCTCCTGTGACCTCGGTTAAGCCAACCACAGTGTCTGCATGCTGCTCAAGCTTTCACAGCCCCATCCCATCCTCACAAATCTTCCTCTCCTTGAAGCAAATTAATTAATTTACACAGTAACACGTGTAGATATAAAAATGTTTAAAAGACTGTTTTTAGCAATACTTTGGAAAGAGCAGTGGGTAGTCAACTCATCCCGTCATTATTCCAGGGTCAACAGAATTAGTATCACTTGGTGGAAAGTCATCAGTGGCTTTGCTGTGTTGCAGAAGATGATATCCTCCCAATGGATCTCAAACTATGGACCACACCGTGAACCACTGCAGTCTGCGCACCTTCACCAGAGGAGGAGGTCTAGCAAAACTACACAGAGTATTTGCTAAAGCCCTCTCGTCGTGGCTAGCGGACCTCGACATTGGCTGGCAATTAGATCCTCAAATGTATTGCCATACGCTCGAATAGAAACCTCCCCGTGCATGGTTGAGCGGTGAGACACTGATTTGATTTGACATTGTTTGCAGCCCTGCAGTTCAGGTAAAGCTCACCGATCGACATGGGTGGCAAGTTGGGAGAGCAGATTTCAATTCTATAATTCTGATATCGATAAAAATAGAAATGCCTCCACTTATTTTACGTGGGCTTATTTGTAAACACTTTCTTTTTTTACTCGTGTTGCCCTTTTATCAAAAGAAAACATATTTGTGGATCACCAAAACAAGGTCCATGTTTGCACTGATCACTGTGTAACAAAAAAAATCATTTTGTTCCTGGGTAGTAAGTGTTATTATCTATTTGCTTATGCCTCAAAAGTACAGAAAATCGCTATTATTCTCCACAAACTTTGCTTTTGTGACCAGGACAGTGATATTTTGAAATGTACCTTTTTTCAACCAGGTAAGGGTGTGTGTTGACTGTTGTGTTAGCTGGCTCTCTCTGTTGTATTGCATTACATGTCTAAGTTTACTAGGTTTGTTTTCTCATTCATTCTTACCTGATGAAAGTTTCTTGTGTTGCAATCAAAACGTCGTATTATATTATTTAATACATTTTCTTTCTACATGACTTTACCGAAAGAACCAAAGAGTATTTTCTATACTTTTGAGGCATAATCAATTAGAAAATAACACTTACTACCCAGGAACAAAAATCGTGTTACAAGGTGTATAGTTTTTACAAACGAAAGGAAAACACAGTATTGATTTTGTTTCCTGCTTATGTTTGTATGCATCCTTCCATTCACACCTCTCGAAGCAGGGAGATCGAGCAGAATACTCGCCTAGACAGCCAGGATAAACTGCATATAATTCCCCAGTTGTATGCATGCCGCACTGTAATACAACAACCTGAGATCTCCCTGTGCATCTTTACCCATCATCCACAGCCTCCAAAGAGCCGGCTATTCTTAGCTACTCCTTCACCTCCTGCCCCCGAGGAAATAAGCTCCTGCACTCTGTTTGAATTAAGCGTGTTCTGTATGGAACCGGCAGTGGTCCTTCCTCAACTCTGCCATCACTTTCACAGAGAATCGCTTCAACTGTTTGCTTACTAAGAATGAATGTCTAGCAACAGACGGGGGGGATGTGTTGTAGTGCCCGCTAGGAAAGTGATGATGCATCGATGGCATCAACAGCAATATGTATTATTCAGTTTCGCGTTGCATGCGTTGAATTGTGCATAGAAGAATTGCTTATTTTTCTATTTGTGTGTATTGTATGTAATAGGGTCATGTGAGATCTGCAGCCACTAGAAACACATTTTCCACGTAGATTTTTTTACAGAATTGTGATGATTCATTCCACCGCAGGGGGCACGGGGTAGGTAGGGGGGTACGAGTGTACATCCCTATATCTATCGTATCGTAGAATTCCAGGCACTCATGCAAACAGGTTTCCCATCCTGTACTCTCTGATGATGAAATATTTACACCTGTAGTTCACACTGTAGAGGATTCAGGCATTGCTTCACAACTTACCAGTGCTGGAAATTGGAAGAAAGTACTGGGGGAACTCATAAATGATTCCCCCCCCCCAGCCCCCCACTAGGAGGATGAGCATCACTTCATGTGTGTGTCTCTGTGTGTGTATGTGGGTCTCTGAGCATGTGTGTGGGGTTTTGTGTGTGTCTGTGGGTCTCTGAGTGGGTCTGTGGGGTTCTGTGTGTCTGTAGGTTTCTCTATTAGTCTAGGAGTCTATCTGTGTGTCAAGTGAATTAAAAAAAAGATAAATTCTTAATTCCTTACAAAACGCAGTCAGTCGGGTTCAATTTTTCACTCCCACCACGGCGTTCCAACAGATTCTGGCCCATTTCCATCACTGCAACATACATCACTAGAAAACCAGTCTCAGATAAGTTGATGTAAACTGAATTTTCTGTTTACAGATTACAAAAATAATTGCTTTGCTTACTAAAACTAGAGCATCAACAAAGTGCAAATTATAATGGGAATTAAATAAATGTATGCCTGAGATTGATAGTAAATATTGTGAACCTCACCATATTTAACATTCATTTCTCTATTTTGATGGCTTTTACTTATTGACTGTTATCATATGATATCTTTCACTTCACGACGAACAGGATCCTTTGGTAACAATTGACGGCATGCATTCGAGTAGATGCACACTGGTTGTGCAAGCAAGTGGGAACCCCTTGGAGGGAATGTTCCAAATTCCTAGAGGCCTAACATAGGCCTGTCAATGGACGTTGGCATGGCCCAGTAGCTGCGTGCGCTTGCCACTTTGATGCAGAGGGTCGCAGTCCAAACCCACCGGCCACTCTGGTTAATACTGTGGGTGCATTAACCACATATGCCACGCGCCGCCTGCTTAATAGGTAGACGTTGAAGATCCCGTGACATTATTCAAACGAGAGGAGGCCATGTGTGCCGGCGTGACGGTCCGAATTTTTAAGAACAACTCGCAAGTTGGTCATTTGGGGTAAAACCACACGGCAACATCGCACCTCACTGGTAGACTATACTCGTCTGTGAAACATAACGCCTTCCCGTTAGCCTTGCGCTGTAAGAATGGCGGCAAAGCCTATGGTTGCCGAATGATAATTATTACCGCTCGCTGTGCCATTGTGCGAGTTAACGTTAACCGCGGTGTGCTGATTGTACACATTAAGTGCTGGCGGGTGTTAACGGTTATAAACCAGGCCACTGTTGTGTCCTTGTGTCATCAGGATGAAAACCTGCACGATGTCCTGCAGCTTCTGGTTGCCCTCATGTCGGAGCACCCTGCCTCCATGATCCCAGCCTTCGACCAGCGCAACGGCATCCGGTAAGAGAGGGGTAGCATTTAAATCCCGACCACTGAAAGATATTCACATTGTGACAACCCACATCCAACATCGCGATGTCTTTCGTACAACCGTCACCGAGTGGGCTGAAGGGGCAACACTCCGCTCCACTTGGAGAGCGTGCTTTAGCTGTGGGTGGCTGCGCAGATTAAAAAAAAACTCACAACCTCAACAGAGGTCCGAGCCGGTGTCAGCCCGCGGAGCCACCCGGCCCAGCAGTGGCGTAGCAACGACATTATTCAACTTAAGGGATTGCGACAATCGGTCAGGTGGGACCCCCCCCAATATTTGATTTGTCTCACACGGTCGCACCTGAAGGCTATTACATATCGTGGCTCCTCTTGCCTAATCACATCATCGTTATGTTCACGGTCTCGAACATTTAACGCCGTTGGGGGCGCTCCTTCTTCGCAAAATGCCGCCACTACTGTATGAAAATTTTTCATAAAAAGTATGTAAACCGCGTTTTATACAAGTTTGTTGTTTTTTTACACTGCTGTTGAAAAACAATTCTCATGGTGGTTGTCAAGGGGAGCCCCAATTCGTAGCTTCGGCCACCAGCGTGGTGGGGGGGTGCAAGACACCCCCACACTTCATTACGCTACTGCTGCCCTTATTTCCAGGAGGTTTCCCCTTGCGCTCACCGCGCGGGTTCCCGCGTTCATGTCGTCTTCCCCTCGCCGTGTGCTCTACAGCGTGCTCTTGAGCATCGGCGATGTCGATGCCGACGCTCCTGACGTCCATTTCCCCCTGCGACTGGGCCCTCACTGTATGGGCTCCTCTCTTGCAGAGTATGGACACAGCTCACGCATGCTCGGCGGTTTTTTGGCCGTGTGTTGTTCAACTCTTTTCCGGCAGTGGCTCCGTGCCGTGCCACTCATGTGTGCTACCGGTGGTCATATTTGGCAAAGATCCCGAGGAAAAAATCCGCATGCTCTCTCCGCTTCAGTTCTCTTAATTAAAGTGGTCAATGGGTACTTAACGCACATCCTCGCTTACTTTTGTGAACGATATTTTTTTCGTCACGTTACGGGGAAAACGCTTTCGAGTGAACGTTGAGAATGGTTTAAACGCTATCAGAGTCTGATTTGAATAACGTTTTTTTTTTAACAACGATTGTTGCAAATAGCTGAGTGCTTTTACAGCTACAAATGTAGGGCATTGAAAATGGCCTGGAACTGAACACAGCTTTGTACATTTAAACTGACCATGTGGCTAATAATTGCATGTGCTGTGCTTATTTTTTAAACCTTATTTTGGTTTATATTTTGGATTAAAATATACGTATCAAGCGACTGAGTTAGCAGTTGTCTACAGATTAAAAGATAGAAAACGTGCCACCTTTGTCAAAAGGAATCGCTGTCTTATCAAATATATTTATAGTAGACTGTTTGATTTCAATGGTCTTTCTTCAAACAGAGCCATTACTCAAAACCGGCCTCTGCATAATAAATGAGTTTACTATATATACTTTTCTGATATAAGGCAGTGTCATTGGCGAAGGTGGTACGATTTATTTTTCGCTTCTATTTTGGGGAAAGGTAAACATTTTTGGATATCGGACCAAAATGTGGCAGCCTGTTTTGGGATGTTGCACGAAATAAATGTCGACTAAGCTTCATACAGAGGTAGAGAGGTGAAGACATGAAATTAAACATTTGAAAGTCATATCCATCAATCATAATGCACCGGGTTGTCAATTAATTTAATGTAATTTAACATAATGTGTCATCCTGCAAACCGTGCTCATGAGCTCAACTTAATTCCAGTTCATATACTCTTAACATCAATGCCATTAGTGTAATGTGTTTTAATGTATTTTCATAGCTTACACGTAGGGTCAGACCACATAAGCACACACCTACATAGGTAAAGCTTTATTCTCAGGAAGTTTTTCTATTATTTTTAACTTATTTTCATTATATAATGTATGAATACGATTTTAAAATGGCTGTCTGGAAAGTAGATATAAAATAGTGGGAGCATTGTGTCTCCTTTTGTTGGCTTTTTTGCTGGCGAGGAATGTGTTTGTGGGGAAATGTCAACCGTTATTAATATACATTGTTGTGAGTTCACAGGAAAGCCATAACAAAACAGCGGGAATGGGTCTTTGTTTACAAAGGTCTAGAGTAGACGCTGTTTTCACCGAAGTTATTTTAAGATGCCATTTCCTAAAAGGAAACAGTATTATGATAAAAAAAATGATACCCCTTCTTTTCTTCAAAAGTTACAAAATAGTGTCAAGTTTACAATGGATTATTTTTCTTCCAAAGTTGTCATTGTAGTTTTATAATACATCAGACCGTTAGTGTAAAATAAGGCTAACTGATGTCTGAAATGTCATAGCCCTGGGTTTGTCAATCATTTTCAACATTAACAAACAAGAGGAAACGTGATTGTGATACAAATACAAAGGCTTACTGGATATTTACCAAAACAGATGATTCGTCACCATAAATGTAACGTGTGTTCTTCATGTTCTTTTAAATTGCATTTGTTTAAAATAAAGTTTACGTGATTGAGTTTTATGTAACGACCAACATCTTAGATGGGCAGCACCGCTCTAGCTATATTTAGTTTGTAATGTGTTCATATATAGATATACATATACTCTTAGTGAAGCTGATTTTTAAATACAGCAAACCACGAGTAACTAACCTAATATTTATTTTGGCACATTATGGAACAACAATGTTTTATATTGGTGAGAAAGGATCCCAGAAATGGCACTGGAAGTTGTTTTGTGTTCAAGGGTTCTAAGAAAAATGATCACAAGCGCCTGGAGAAATAAACATTTTCATGAATGTACCAGTCTCTGACAATTCTTTCCCAAAATGCAATATTAAATAGGGCACTCAACAGAACTTTGTTCACCAAAACTGAAAGATCTTGCACATTTGACATGAAAACAAATTAGTCTTATTTCAGTTAAACATTTTTAGGCGGTAAAATAATTATCTATTAAATGAATTAAACATGTTAAATTATAACAATGGATTTATTTTGATAATTCACTCTTGTGAGTCACTAAAATTAATAAAATATGAGCTCACATCACAGCGTTAATGATGTCTATCCGCACCTCCATGAAATATTGCAGTGCAGCGTATTTTGTGTGCTTCGCAGCATCGTGATGTGACGGAGGATTGTGACGGCTTGTTTTGTAATCGGTTGTAAGCAAAGGACACGCTGCAACTTTCCCCATGAAATGTTGATTCCCGGTAGTCAAGTGTCCCTTTGAAGTCCCTGTTATTGCGTTTCATCTTATTGCTAGTCACGGCTAGCACCAGTGGCAAGCGATATCTGAACCGATCCATCCCACCACCCCCACCCCTTCACCAACTTGTACTGAACAGCTCGGTGAAGTACCATCAAACACCCCGTCGCCCCCCATCAATAGCTTTTAGAGAGATTTGATTGAAATGCGTGGAGTCGTTTTGTGTATTTTTAATAACACTTAAAGCAATGAAGAGCTATCAGTGTGCCCTATTCAGGGATTGAATATGTAACTACGTCGTGTGGCACAATGGTGAGAACTGGAAGGCCGTGCCTCACAGTTGGGAGGCTGTGTGTTTCACCCTACATTCTTCAAAGGCCAAAACAACAGAGTTCCATTCTAGATTTGAAGTTTTCGTGACTGCAAGGATCCATACTCTTCGGTTCTTTCGGTAAAGTCACGTAGGTAAAAAAATATAGCAATAAAAAATAAATGAAAGTAAAATTAAATCACGAAGTTTTGATTGCAACACAAGCAATCTTCATCAGGTGTGAAAATCACAGCTAGAAATTTTTTTGTAAAGTTTTTAGTAAACATTTTCTAGCTGTGATTTTCACACCTGATGATGATTGCTTGTGTTGCAATCGAAACGTCGTGATTATTATTATATTTTTTACCTATGTGACTTTACCGAAAGAACCAAAGAGTATGAACAGAGTACCACTTTGTGGGAAGTCAGCAGTGGTTATGTTGTGGATAGACTCGTCCCAACTGCAGGTATGTGGAGTTCCACCACTTGTTCCAGGATATAAACATGAACACCGACCCATGCTTGTTCAAGCATGGGTCGGTGTTCACCTCCGATTAGCACAGTTGGCTATGTACGGTGTGAAAGAAGTTGAACATACATGAATCTATACAAGTGGAAAACTGCTTTCTCTTAATTCATCCACCTGCCGTAAGCTAATGTGTCTTTAAGACTGCCTATTTTGATACATTTCTCACAAATTACTGAATTGGAAAGTCGCATCGCAGCATCGGCCCCTCCTGGCATTCTAATTCCCACTTTTTGGCTGTTGCTGCTGCTGTGTTCACCTTGTACCTCACAGGGACACCTGCCGCTGGTGGGTCCCCTGCCACAGGTTGCCTCGAGAGCTACTATATGGGAGGCGTGGTATAAATATTCAGTGATGACGATGTGTGTAAACTATTTCGTGTTTCTTGCTTTTTTGCTGGCGAGGAAACTAAACTATTATCCCACAGCCATGGACAAAGCTGCCTGAAATGACTGCTGTAAAGGAAAGCTGCCGTGCGTTTCTTGCCAATGCCCTGTGCGTGTGCTGTCTTTGGGCCGCACCGTGCCCCGTGCTGCTCTAGGGTTGTGTACAAGCTGCTGGCCTCCAAAAGTGAGAGCATCCGCGTTCAGGCCCTCAAGGTCCTGGGCTACTTCCTCAAGCACCTGGCCCACAAGTGAGTGCCACGTGGGCTGTGCCTGGGACCAACTTACGAGCGAAATAATTCCACCGTAGCCATCACTCGCTTTGTGTCTGTCTCAGTGGTCAAGCGTACCGGGATTTATTTAGCAATCTTATCGTTTCTTGTGTTGTTTTGTTGTAACTTGCTGACCCGCCCCGACTGGACGTCTGCGAAAAAGAGCTTCATTTCCCATCGGATTCCTCTAGGAGAAATAAATATTCTGATTCTGACTTTTAATTGGAGCAGTGTTGCAGTGGTCAGTGCACTGTGTTATGAACCCAGCAACTTGAGTTGTATTACTGTCCATGCCGATCATCGATGATGAGTGGTGTCACCACGAGGGAAACTAAAGCAGCTGGGCATCGTGACTCCACGTTTCACCGACCTTCACTGTACCAGCGTGGGGAAATACGGTCAAACAAAACCTCAGAACAGACAGTGTCGGAATGCTTCCACCTGGAAGTCAAATTCCAAAGGGCTCTGAATTATTCTCTTGTTTTTTTTATTCAGTTTAAGCATTCGCTGTGGCCAGTTGGCACCGCTGGAAGGGCACTCAGGTCAAAATCGGAAGGTTGCCAATTCTAATTCTAGTCGACTCGGTCGACTTCCTGCTAAACAGTACTTCATGTTGTTGAGCCTGAAGGCATAAAGAGCTGAGGTGAACCCCCCAACTGTGAATTGAATTTGACAACCTTGCGAAGGTGTGTTGGACTCTATGTTTGGCTGTTTAATTGGTTGCTGTGATTAAAATAATATTAACAATTATAAGAATGCAACAATCCTAAGTCATAAGTTAACATTACAGTTGTATGTCTATTTAATAGACGTGAAAATACGCGGAATATTTCAAACAATTTCTAAATTAGAGGAAGGCTTTCCCTCCATTGGATTCAAACCCCAGGGTAGGGTTCCTATTCCTGAGCACAAAAGTGCAAATATCGAATTACACAAAATTAAACTTTCACATTGGAGTTTCAATCGAGGTAAAGACGTCAGTACGTGTATGTATGTGTGCCTGTGTCTCTGCATCGGCCGTGCCTTGGTGTGTAGGCGCAAAGTTGAAATCATGCACACGCACAGCCTGTTTGCACTGCTGGGGGAGAGACTGATGCTCAACACGAACACGCTCTCCATGACCACCTACAACACCCTCTTCGAGGTATGCAAATTGCGAGACTTGATCAGAGGTCTCCTACATGACGCTAAGGCTGGTTCACTATGCTTACTGTAGCTAGCTGACAAAAATTACCAAACAATTACATTACAATGGCTTGGCCATTTTATGCTGCAGTGCCTCCACCCAATGTGTTCGCTTCCTTACCATTCCCCTGTTAACGACGGGCTGTTGTGGGTACAGTAACTATTAATTAATGCATTGATTAACCATGTTTCTTTTAATATTATGTGTTTATAATGTTGTTAGTACCTTAATGTATTAATATCCATTGTTGAAATATTATAAAGTACGTTTTTTTGGATGGAAAAGGGTAACTTTCGATGCTGTCGGAACGAATTAAGCCTTTAACGTGTATTTGCTATACTCGCTCAACGACCAAGTCACATAACAACCGGTTTCGTGGAACCAATTTCCGTCGTTAAAAGGGGTTCTACTCTACTCTGAACGCACATTTCTCATCGTATCGCTGTGTACAGCATTGCACAGCGAGTGTACTGACGCTTCGTCCGATTACAAACGGTGGTGCTGCTGTGCATGCAGATCCTCACAGAGCAGGTGTGCACCCAGGTGGTTCACAAGCAGCACCCGGAACCCGACTCGTCTGTCAAGATTCAAAATCCGAGTACGTGTCTCCTCCCCTGCACCAATTATGTTTATTTCTCGCCAAGTACGCTTTCAATGGTGCTGTTTGTTGCTGTGCTGCCTGACACGTTGGGACTTGCGTTCGGAAACCGTGATTGTTTCAAAATAAATTGTGCTAAGTGCAGTGGAATTCCTCTACTCTAACCTGAAGTCATAGCCAAGGGGGTGATCGATCACAGCCAGTGGCATTGGTGCTTCCGCACAATACCTTTGCTTCCTGCCTTCTTCAAGATACCTCCACTGTTGCACAATCAACACCTGGGTCTTATAAAATCTGTTCAAACATCATCCTACCATCGGTAATAGCTGAGCCACTCCATCGCCTCCAATGTCTTGGTAACTTGTCGATCTTAAATGTGTGCCCCACCTCTAACATAATGTTAAGATTTACTACAACAGTATGCGTGTTATACAATATTTATTATTTCAGCACCCTTGGTTAAACTAATTTGAAAATTATTTAGCTATATTCCTCAATTCTTTATTATATAAATGGCATAAGATTGCTAACCCTGTCGTCATGAACTTCACATTAATTTCCGTTGCAAGGGAACTGGACTATCAGGTTATAATTTACAGCTCTTCTGCTCATGTCCTTCTAAATACCACTGGTTGTGGACTGAGGGCCAAAGCCTTACATCATTTTTACACTGAATGTGTACGTATATATCCGTATAACTGCAACATGTTTTACTGCAGATTTCATTTATTGATTGTTTAGACGAGCCTCTTATATAAAGGTTATTTCTCACCACTCTGGGTCAATATTATGGATCAGTTTTCACATACAAATCTTCTTTCTAGGCTGATGTGTTGGTCGTATATTCCTTGGCTGCGGCGTTTTAAAATACATACTGGTCCTCTGTCACGCTGTGTAATTGACACACTTGCTTCTCCTGCATGAATCACCGAGTGAAGGGTGGGCAGGTGCCTGGCCGTGCTCTGTGCAGGTGGTATTTGTCCAAAAGACAGCGATTACTATATCAGGCGCTCTTTTTTGTGTTTACCAGGATCCCACTGGTCTGTGTTTGAAGACGTGTTGTGCGCTCTGTGCACAGTGGTTTATTTGTGTCCCTGAGAAACGGCGACCGCGTTTTTCCAGCCATTAGTGGCTTCGCACACTGATCTACGAACCTTATCAGCTGAGTTCGATTCCTGGTCAAACTAAAATAATTTGTGAGTGAAATCTGAACTGGCCCTTGGCTGCCCTTTCACCAACTTGATCTGACCAGCATGGTGAAGGTGTGGTCAGTCCCATGACCGAAAATAACATGGGGATGCCTTCATCAGGCAGCTGATTGAGAGGGATGTAGATTATTATTATTACTAAAGAAAAAATGTCAAGCCAGATGGTGCAGTTGCAAGAGTTTGGAGGTTGTGAGTTCAAAATCCCACCCAGGATCAGCAACATGATATCATCTTCTTGGTTCTTTCGGTAAAGTCACGTAGAATGGAAATAATAAAATAATAAAAATAAAACATAATAAAATAATTCTCAAGACGTTTCGGCCACAACGCAAGTAGCCGTCCTCAGGTGGAGAACAGGTCTGTCGAGGAGACATTCAGACTCTGTCTACTTGCGTTGTGGCCGAAACGTCGTGATAATTATTTTATTATGTTTTATTTTTATTATTTTATTATTTCCATTCTACGTGACTTTACTGAAACAACCAAGAAGATGAATCCCTGCAGTCACGAAAGCTTTAAATCGAAACATGATATTACTTTGTGGGAAATCAACAGTGTTGCTGTTGTCAAGAGACAAGCTACTGCCATAGGAATATGGAATTTCCACTTCTGACTCTGGACCTCCAATGGGGATAAATATTGCCCCAATCTTGTTTGGGCAGGGAGACAATTTCACGTTCCCTTGAGTAGATCACAAGGTATGGATTAAAACTTAATGGATGAAAAAAGTCTCAATCTGTGTCCATATTTACATTACATCAAAGATCTATCATTTGCTGAATATGGTGATTGGGAAACTTAAGCACTAGGTAATTGCATTTCCGATATCATTATTCTGCAAGGTTATTGTAAATGCACATTTTTAAATGCACATCTTACTGTGATGGGAGAGACATTGAATTGGCTGGAAGTGTACTGCTAATGAATTCTACGACCACCAACACCAAACATCACAACTTTGATACTGTAATGCGATATGTCCAGGGGGTCCTGTGGTTAGAATTCTGGGTCAGGCATAGCCACCTGCTAGTTAAGCCCACTGTCGGGGATCGACCCAGCCAATCGTTTTTTTTTGGGGGTCATTAAAATGGGTCTCACGTTGTTGGAGAGGTCAACGGCAGTTGTCCTGTGGAGAAACTGGCCCCCCCACCTTGGGGATGTGGCATCAGTCAAGGCTGGCAATGGAGCTGAGTGCCCCCAATGCTCACTTGCACAGGCAGACACTTTCGACCCAATTCATGTGGCCATGTTGGGCCAAAAATCCCCATTACATTGGCATTTTGTAATTCATGTGCAGCCAATTCCACCCAAAAGCGCACACATTTGCACCATTTGCAAAATTGCTAAATTGGCAACATTTGGGCATGGTTAGGGTAGAAATCATACTGCAAACTCGTGTGCAATCCGCAACTTTTTTTTCCATTCATGGAGTTTTGAATGCTCCTGAAAGGAGTGAAATGCTTGTGCAAATGCAAATGTATGTGAAGATGATCATGATGATGAAGCTAAAATATATTGATGAAGATGATGGTAATGGTGAATTATAATGCTGAAGTTGATGACAGTGATAAATGTAATAACGTTGATTATGAAAAATGCATGCTAATGATGATTCTGTACATACTGTACGTTTTATAATCATAACCTCCGATTAGCACGGTTGGCTGTGTACGATGTTGATTCATTAATTTATAACTTCAATCATATGTCATCTTAATTTATTATCATCTTGTGTCATCATCACTATTGCCTCCATAATTGTTTAGAAGTAGCATTTGGCCATCTTTTGCATCGTTCTACATTCCACACCACGGTGTCGGGCAGAGAATCCTCGACACTGACGTTAGCGGACGCGTGTGTGTGAGATGGACGGAGTCTGAATGGTCGGCTTGGGGCTCTATTCAGCGGTGAATTAGGTGTATTATCTTTTGCAACAATTGCTATAAATTCCACGAACGTACGAAAACAATGTCCGCATGAACTGAGCCCTCGTAAGAGTCATCGACAACAGAAACCTCTCCACAGTGCTCGCTATACGAGCGAGGCCGCCACTTACCATGGGATGTAGAACGTGCACTGCTGGCAGCAGAGATAAATGTCTTCCTCGTGCGTGTTTGAGGTTTGAGCAACACGGGGACGCTGTGAGCCCACCTGTCGAAACCCTCTGTTAAGGAGCTCTGACACACGTGGCTGTGCACGTGTGACCGACTGCCGCGCCCACAGTGATCCTGAAGGTGGTGGCCACGCTGCTGAAGAGCTCGGCGCCCAGTGCAGAGCTTATGGAGGTGCGGCAGGCGTTCCTCTCCGACATGATCAAGCTGTTCAACAATAGCCGAGAGAACCGCCGGTGAGCACCCAGCCCCCACGGCTCCACCAAGCTCACCCGGACTCATCCCACCTCATGCCACCTTCGTTCATGTTAAAAGTTGCGCGTTTAAAATGCTTGCGCACGCGTCGTTCCGTGTTCGCTTCGTGCGTGTCAGATGACACGCTGGGCACCGCGGCGAACGAGGTGCTGAGTCTCGAGGGATTTTTCAGGTGAAATGTTTGAGTTCATAAATGTGTCTGAAACCAGCCCTTAAATTCTGACTGCCTGCCTATCTACTCACATTCCCGTGAGGTTGCCCATTTTATTATGACAATACGTCCCGCTGGAAGTGTCACAGGGCATCAATTCATCGATGAATATCAATTGTTATGCCCTCTATGCATGAATCACAACGCATATATAAGGATCAGTGTTTTTAGATTTGTATTTGCTGTGTCATACGAGTTTATGTGACCCCTGCAGCCTCTAGTGACGGCTACATTCACCACGGTAGTACATAGAGAGATTCGATAATTTGATCGATTTGAGACAATTCGACGAATCGCCACAGGGCGAATCATTATGTTTCCACTGGCCAACTGTCATTACAATCGTTGCGTTTGTCTTTCTGAACCTCGAATGACTATCTGTCATTGCCCAGCCCTGTTCATCAGACCATCGGTGCCTCTGCGTCGTACGCATGCTCGACTTCTTGCGCACCGCACGTAGCCAACCATGCTAATCAGAGGTGCGGGGCATTATTCCCGCATGCACTCCTGCAACATAAATTTACCAGTGTACGTCAGTGTTTCACCTCATTGGAAACCAAGCGATAAATGTTCAAGGGTTAGAAGAGCTGACCGCGTTTGTGGGCCGAGGTCAGAGCTTGAACCCATGGACACTGCTACTGGGAGGTGAAGTTTCTGTACCAATGGAACACCCAATCACACTTGTCACTCTCCTCCACTGTGCACCTGGATATAAAAACAACCTGACGGTAGCGGTGTACGTACGAATGTGTGTCGAGCTTCTTTTGCGCCCCACGTAGCCACTCGTGCTAATTGGCTGGTGCACAGCAACAAGCGTACGCTTGTTACTATGCTTGTTGCTGTACCAACTCCCCTTCGGATTGCTCTGATTGTATTTGCGTGAACCCATTTGCATCGTGACATATTGTGCCTGCGATATGGATTCTTAAAGAACAAAAGGTGGTGGTCAGGGTTAGTGCCGACTTGATTGATTCGAGCACCACTTAGTGAGTCTCATTAGTTTCCTATTGGCTACAATCCAGGTTTAGAATTAGCTAACCCATTGAGTCACTTAGCTGTATACAGCCAATTTCAATTCCATTTCGAAGATAAAATATGGGCAGCATTGTTGCGTGATTGCTCATGCATATGTGTGTATATGTGTGTGTGGATGTGTGTGTTTGTAGTGGTAGTGTAGCAGTTAGCGCTGCTCTATGAACCCAGGGACCGGAGTTCGATTCCCGCTCAAAGCCAACACCTGTGATGAATATCTGAACTGGTCCTGGGCCTCCTCTAGGTTTACTCAGCCTCAAATTAGTACCTGGTGCAGTGTGTAAATATCGACACTAGGGAGAAAAAGGCAGCCCGGGTGTGGTGCTGGCCCACACACCCCCTCGTGTGCCGTGCCGGCCCACACACCCCCTCGTGTGCCGTGCCGGCCCACACACCCCCTCGTGTGCCGTGCCCGCCCACACACCCCCTCGTGTGCCGTGCCGGCCCACACACCTCCTCGTGTGCCGTGCCGGCCCACACACCCCCTCGTGTGCCGTGCCGGCCCACACACCCCCTCGTGTGCCGTGCCCGCCCACACACCCCCTCGTGTGCCGTGCCGGCCCACACACCCCCTCGTGTGCCGTGCCGGCCTTCATCGGTGCTCGCTAACAGCACTTACCCACTAGCCTGTTAAGGCTACATGTGGGGGTCTTTGTCTTTGTAGGAGTTTAACACTGATTACTACACTGACCTCTATTCCCAGAATGCCAGGTTTGATTTAAATGCATAAACTTCGGTGGTAATTGGTATCCCTGGTCCCTAGCTGGATTGAACTGTCTCGAGATTTCCTCTGCTTAATATTGTGATGTCTGTTATGGTTTGTAGGCAGTCAGGTGGTGCTGCGGTTAGAGTGCTCGACTCAAAACTGGAAGGGTTTCTTTCGGGTTCAAATTGTGGGGTTGCGAGATTAAAGTAGGCCAATTTGTGGAAGTGAACAGCGATTGGAAGACTGCAAATCACCAAAGACCGTGTACAAGGGAATGTCCACCACTGACCTAAAATGTGTTTGTCACATGACACTGACTTTGACCACCCTTTCAGAAATGTGGTGTTATCAACTTCGTTGAAGGAAATGTAATTTACATGCCGTGCAGGTCACGAGGGTTACTTAACCGTACTTCCCCACACTGGTCAGTGCCCGTTGATGAAGATGGGGAGCATAGACGTGCAGTACAACAACGGATGTTGATGCACTACCCCCCTCTACTGCTCAACATGTAGCCATATGACTAATTCACCCGCAATGCACCCAATCTCATCAGACCTCGGAAGCTCAGCAGGTTTGGGCATGGTTAGTGCTTGGATGGGTGACCACCGCAGGTTCGTCATAGGGTTTGCAGGGATAAATGCAGGTATTGTAACAAGCGGTATTGCAATTAACGCCACTTGTTGATGAACCAGCGATTCGACGCTGCCGGCCGGGGTACAGTAATTGTAAGGTGGTTCTGGAAATTGCACTTGCCAGAGTTCAAATGCCGTTCCCTTTTTCCTCTTCTAGCCTTAACAACTACAACAACTACAGCCCGCATTGTAATAATTGACCCTTCACCAATAAAACCGCAGCCTCTTATTAATCACATCGTAACATTTATATATATATCTTTTGTTTGTTAATTTTCTATGTAGCTGTGAATTGAAGGCTTTTTTTTTTTACAAAACACATCTCTAACGACATTCAGGTTAATTAAATGGTTAAGGTTATAAGGTCGACCCTGAGACTTGGACCAAAATGATTCCCCCAAAGTCATGTCCATTTGTTTAATTAAAGGTCGTGTTGGGGATGTGATTTATTGCACCGTTTAACGCCGCAGCAACGTCCGTGGACCTTGATTTTTGCAGGCATTATCTGAATGCTTGAAAAATGAGACAACATTTTAGTGCGGTGCAAATGTGTTGAGAATAAAACAAACACATCGACATACACAATCTGCACGCGCGCGCACACACACACACAATGAGCCAATTTCTGATTCCTAAAATTCACAACAACCAAGCTTCTCAAAGTATCTTGTTAATTTTATTGTGTACGTGCCCTCAGCAGATGTTTTTTGCCTAGGTGATATATATAATGCATTATTTATTCTGGAATCTGTTCTAAATACGTATTCAGTTGTTTTTCTTTTAATTTTTTAAAATCATGTCACCGCTGTTATGTTATTTTAACTTGGGTTTATCGGCAAAATACTTTTATCCTCGCTTCATGCCAGTGAACAGCCTCTCAAAAAGGTTGTCAGAGAACTACTTCTAATGTTACTACGGTCGCCTCTTGTCCACACTACTCGATTGCTGCACATGCCTTGCGAAAGTGGCTTGTTTTCACGTGGCAATCAAACCGAGGCTGAAGTAAGCCAACAACCATATTTAATGAGGGAAGTTTTTGTTTGACTTGGCTCAGATCATTACCTCTCTGCACTTGAGAATGTGGTTTCATTCTAGTTGGTTTCTTCGAATGCAATCCAAGATCTCAGTGGTGTCAGCTCGTTGCTCTGTTGGGGTATTACTGTTTTGTACCAGTTGAAAGGGTAAAAACCTATTACTATATTTTGCCACTGGTAAAGGAGATGTCTCATAGGTATTACTCTCCTCGTGGCTACCTCACAGAAGAGCTCAGATTGGTTGATGCAGAGCCACTTTAGAATTGCCGAATGTGGGTTGGAGGGTGTTCGTGATTGAGCCGAAATCTACTTCACGATAAAGTTATCTTTAAGTCATTTCCCATATTTAGTGATAAGAACAAAGGCACCCAGAGCTGGCGGTTCATGACACTTTCATTATTTACTCTTGAACCCACCCAACCACCCAGCAAACATGGGATCGTTAGGCCAACGGTGGTCCAATGCTTCCAATCACATGCCAATGTTGGCCCAATGTCACTTTTTTTTTGGCACCTCTTGGAGGCCACATAATAATATACATCTAAACTCAACATGTGGTATCCAGCATTTGCTGCTACTATCACTGTTTATGAATTTTTGTTAGACTTTCACTTGGTGCATTTGTAATTGTTGATTTTCCACAACTGCCAAAAAAGTTTACTGGGAACTGTGGGCAACACCATGAAGACTCGTGACCGATGTTTGCAAAAGTAGTTGTGCGATCTGTGTTGGAAACATCTGAACTTACCCCTGGACCCTGCCCTTTACCAACCCACACTGACCAGCATGGAGAAGTATGGCCAACAACGTCCCATGATAAGCCCAGAGTGAGGAGGCCTTAATCCAACAGCGGATTAGCGAAGAGTTGAAAATTATCTCCTTAATTAGTTGTGCTGTACGTTAATTAAGAAGGTAAATTCAGATTTGTGGCCAGTTTGAATCTCATTTGAGTACAGAGTGTAGTTTTTATTTTACTCTGCGTGGTTTAAGTTGAATTGTGATGGAACTACAACAAAGTTTTACACTTCATCTTCAAAATACGTTTTTTTAATATTCTGTTACCATTCCATTGTGCACGTTGCTCCATATATCTGTGTTTAAAAATCGTTCGCTGAAGAGAAACCTAGGAGGCTCAGGGCTACTGGAGCACTCATCCTATGCCGGTGGCCTCAGAGATCCTGATTTAATTCCCATCGTTGGCCGTTAATAATTTGGCAATGACTTCTTCGGGCAAAATGGTTCCCATGTGTAACAAGCTTTAATGGTTTCACACCATTGCACCATCGAAAGCCCAAAAATATGCATTTTTGAAAAAGTATTATTTCCAGTCGATTTGGCTCACCCAGCTTTGTGGACTTTGCTTTTATATTTAGTCACAGGGATAGAGCACATATTCTCCAGCTTATGTTTGCCTTATCATGTACTGGCCTTATTGGGTAAGCGGAGGGATTGGAATTTTTTTAGAGTGAATGAGCCCAATTGAATCTAATGTTGGTTCTAGGCTTCGTTGAATAATTCCACGCTATCGTTGGGACTATAATAATATTTAAAACCTTCCCTCGCGATATAATCAACGGAGTTGTGTATTTTCAGTGATTAATAAGGCAAGGCAGTAAATAATATACTGTACATTTCAATCCACTAGTGCATGATGTTTCTTCCAAATCATGCAGATGGGGATAGTCAGTTTAACACGTAAGCTTTTGTGACCAACATTATCCATAATAGTAATCGAGGTTTTTTTTTCTTTATGCATAGATTAACCCCCCCCCCTACACCTGCCTTCGCACCTGATTGGTTCACAAGTGACGACATCACGTTTATCTCTCTACTTTAGACCGAAACAGGATGGCTTCTCCACAACTCGGGCTGCCCACCAGATGACGCTAATTGTAATTACTGGCGAATCGTCGTACTCGAATTGTAAATGTTGTGAGTTTTACTCTCAAAAAGTTTTACTCTCAAAAAGAGCCATATAGCTCAATGGGCCTTACCTGGTACAATAAAAAAAATTGTCGGTATTTACCGGTATATGTTTGAAAGTGAGTCTGCACGCGGCGGGGGGGGCGCGGACGTGACTGCTTTACGTCTGTGCGCAGGTGCCTGCTGCAGTGCTCCGTGTGGCAGGACTGGATGTTCTCGCTCGGCTATATCAACCCGCGCAGCAGCGAGGAGCAGAAGGTTACGGAAATGGTGTACTCCATCTTTCGCATCCTCCTCTACCACGCCATCAAGTACGAGTGGGGTGGCTGGCGCGTCTGGGTCGACACGCTATCAATTGCCCACTCCAAGGTCAGTGCACGGGAACGCCGCGCAGTGCAAGAGGGGAGAGGAGGGTGGGGGGGGAGCGCCCCTCCTTGTGAGGAATGCAGTGCTGCTCGACACGGAGGACGTCAAGACAAAAGGGGGTGGTCGACAGTTCTCCTTCACGGCTCGTTTTCCCGGCACGTGAAACGGCAAGGCCTTACTCTTTGGTTCCTTCGGTAAAGTCACGTAGAAAGAAAATAAATTAAATAATAGAATACGACGTTTCCATGCAACACAAGCAGCCGTCATCAGGTAGAACTCAATTTGAGAGAGAGACAAAACACAGACACGGAGACACACAGACAGACACACAAGCAGAAAGAGACAACACAGACACAGAGAGAGACACACAACTTAGACACACAGAGACCCAATGCCTCTGTGTCGAGGCCTTTAAATAGAGAGAGAGGTGGGTCTGCTGGAGCAGCTGCTGGAGCAGAGAAATTAGCATGTCACTGAAAGAATCAACAAGGCAGGACTGGTACATTTTAGAGAGATTTGTGTGGAAATCCACAAGGCCTTGTTTACACGACAGCTTGAGTGGGCCCACCCGTCTGAAAAGGCATCGGCCTCGGGGGGCTGTGGGTGTTGTTATAACCTAGCGCGGTCCCGACAAGTAACGCGGTCATTTCAAGCAACACCGCTTTGCCGATTTGATACTTGCTCATGTCACTGAAGCCAAGGTCGAGGTTCAAATAAGTAATTGTGGCCTGCATTCATCACGGAAAGTTTCTTCAATACCTGCCTAACCTCCGAGATCCGCACTTCCAGTATCCCTACTCTTAGTTCTTTCGGTAAAGTCACGTAGGTAAAAAATGAAATTAATAAAAATAAAACAATAAAAATCACTACGTTTCGGAGGCAACACAAGTCTCCGTCATCAGGTGGGACCGTCACAGCCAGATTTGCTGCGTCAAGTATCCCACCATTTATCTGCATCTTTCCCTTGCTCACTTACCTCCGGGTGTCACTCCAACGTCTGTCAGGGTAAACTGGGGCATCATGGTGGCGAGATGTTAACTACCTCACCTGGTATGCAGGAGGTTGTGGGTTTGATCCCGACCCTGACTTCTGTATGTTTGGAGTTTGCATGTCTCTCTCCCTGTTGTCGCATGGATTTTTCTCCGGGTCCTCCGGTTTTTCCGTCCAAATCTAGAATCAATATGCGTTTTAGAATATCTGGCTGCTATACATGTCCGCATGATAAGCCACTTCGTTGAGCTATCATAGCCCAGTGGGCCTTACCTGGTAAAATAAAAAAATAGTTGAGTTGAGTTTGACCTGCACCATTCCTTCTGCACACGTGCCTCACTGATGGGAACTACACCTTCCTGGTCACAGCTGCAGCATAACCCTATCTTGCCATGTTATATTCTCATCAGAACTTCCAAGTTCCTTCTTCTACCCCTGTCATGGATTTCCTGGCGTCCTCCTTCTAAGTCTCTTTGACGACCAACTAATTGTACAACTGCGGATGAATTGGCAGCATTGGGAACAGTATTACATAGTGAAATCATCCGCTATTATGCTCATGTCACAAAACAGGGCAAGCCTGTTGCCATGTGCAGCATTGCATTGCATCACTCAACTTGCGCAATCCTCCACACCTCGAAAATCACCCGCAAATTACTAATTTAGGATTATAGCAATCATCAACCCCTCCCAGTTGACTCGCATCCCGCTGCCTGGTTAAACAAAATAAACTTGAATTCGAAACCTCAGTGCATGCCAGCGGTTTCCACATTTTTCATATTTGACATGCTCTCAGCACATTTTTACATCGAATCTAAATTCTCACCATGTAATGTGGCACGGTGGTTAGAGTGCTTGACTCAAAGCTGTGAGCTCAAATTCCAGTCAACTCAGCCCACAGCCATTCTGGGCAGATTAAAATAAGTACCAATTTGTGGAACGGTAAAAAGAGTTGTCCTCTGTATATACTGGCTCCCACCATCGCATTGTGGCAATGTCACCACTGGCTTAGGGTCTGTAGTGGACATGAGCACCCATCTTTCACTTTATTAGGAAAACGCTTTTTGTCACTGCTGTACGATTAGAATAAGCAACGCCACAACGACAATGGTCTCCAGTCAAGAAGCACGCAACACGTTCATGAAATATTGAAACAGCGGTAATCTTTTGAGTCATGCAAGTGTAGAAACAATGCCCCTTGCCCTCGTAGCACTTCACATCGACCGGCTGCTGTTCGTGCCGGGGATTCTTGGGGCCCAGGTAATGACACCGAGCTGGAGGCAGGAATTTAGTTTACTTGCTAAATAAGCCATGAGTGTCAGAAAACAGGGAGTGCATTGCTCTTTACTGCTTGCAGCTTGGCACCTCCAGGCCCTGGCACTGACATGGGCTCTTATAATAACCTCCAGAGCTTCAGCAGCAAGGTACAATTATTGTCCTACCTTGCTGAGAAGCAGCATCGGGAGTCCCATTATTAATATCAACCACTTGTCTGGCTGTATAGAAGTTGTAGGCCAATCTCATTCCATTGCTTTGTACAGCTTCAGAAATTGTTCATTCTGAAATATTCCTCGATTGTGTCAATTCGGCTGGTCTATCGTCACGACTTTAATACGTGACGTGCTCAATGTTCTGGATGTCATTCGATCATTACTTGTGTCCCTATACTGTGTTTGCTCACGATCTAAAGAGGACAAGTGGTCCTCATGATCCAGTAAGCAGTCAGTGTTGCTCTTCTTTGTGCTGTGGCCGTGAGCCATTGGTAGAAATTCCACATTCTTGTGCTGGGGCTAATCTATCCTGAGAGCAACCAATTTTGACTCTTCACAAAGCGGTACTCGTTTTCATTCTTCATCCTTAACCAGCCGATTCGTTTTTACAAAAATCATTTATCTGTATTTGTGTATATCTGCTAATGCTGCACTCTACTCCTTTGTGGCTTTTTGAAGTTTTAATAATTGTCTTTGCAAGAGAGTACGATATTACATTCGTATTTAATGCAGCGCAGTAGAACTCCTCATGTCTAAACTGAAAAGGGGATGCGATTGGCAGACCCTATGTCTCTGTTTATCCACACACTATACACCTTGTCCACTTGGAAATGCGTGGATAAACACAAGGACGTTTGGGAGCAACATCTCGGTCACTCATCTTGGCTGTGATTTTGCATGGATAATGAATTATATCCTCGTGGGAAATAACTTTCACGTCAGATGTGGGTTAGGTCTGCAAAAAAGCATGCAAAATAGGACGAATTCGCCATCCAATTCTGCGTTTTTTCATTTTATTCCTGCGTTTGCATGGATAATAGAGATGAATTAGTCGTGCCTGCAGTGACCACCTCTGGGTGACTCTTGTCCATGGAGAAATGTCACCATCATCACTTCTGCTCTTACCACTGCCTAGGCATCATCATCATTGACATGACCGTTGCTGTTGACTAGGCCAACCCACCACCTCCACCATCAGCACCGCCATCAGCACTGCCACCACCACCATCACCACCACCACCTCTATCACTGCCACCACCAGCACCACCTCCACCTTCACCACCTCCATTACTGCCACCACAAGCACCACTATCACCAACACCACCACTAATACCACCACCACCCCCACCACCATCACCACCGCCACCACCCAGTGAAATAATTCAGAATATAATGAATATTGGTGAAAAGTGAAAAATAAATGCAAGGCGTATAGACCGAGCCACTTAGTGATATTTTACGTTAAAATAATGGTTGATGGTCATTTCGGTAAGTAATATATCTGGCATTAGTAAACAAGGACCACTTTGTTGGACGTTCATAAATGCTCTATTATGAAGTGGCCGGCTCAATCCGTAGGAATTCACAATTCCCACCAGTTTACTCGGGTCCCATGACAAGCGCGCTTGCAACGATCGTCGCGTCACAAACAAAACGAGCAACAAGCCGAGCTGGCCGATGGAGCTCATGACAATCTCGCGCCACCCCGTGTCCCCCCCCCCCCGCCTCCCCCCCCGGGGTCAGGTGACCTACGAGGCGCACCGCGAGTACCTGGCCAAGATGTACGAGGAGTACCAGCGGCAGGAGGAGGAGAACATCAAGCGCGGCAACAAGGGCACGGTGAGCACCATCTCGGGCCTGTCGGCCGCCCAGCTGCGCAGCGCGCTCGACGGCCCGCAGCTGCGCGAGCTGGAGGAAGGGGCCGACGCGCGCGCGCACAGCCCCTCGGACGGCGAGGTCGACCTCCGGCCACCCCCCGTCGAGGTGCACAACTTCCTGGCGGAGAGCGAGACGGCCTCGGTGGGGGCGGCCATCGTGGCCGTGGGTGTGGCCCAGAGCCGAGGGGCGGTGCAGGCCGTGAGCAGCGGCACGCAGGAGCTGCAGGACCTGCTCGGGGGCGGGGATGACCTGCGTGCCGAGAAGGTGGAGGCCACGGAGGTGAAGATGGATGAGGCGGATCTGACGCCAGAGACGCCCATGGCCGGCATCCTCCTGCCCAATTCGATGCTCAACGACATCGACGCGCCGGCTCCTCGGCCGCCTTCCTCCTCGGCGGTGGACGGCAACGACATCTGCAAGCTGGACGAGCTGGGCGAGTCTACCCTCACCACGATGGTGCAGGGCTCAAGCGACCTGCTGATCCCTGGCGAGTTTTTGGTAGAGAAAAGAACATCTGAATTCCCCTGCATCCCTCCCCCCGACAGCACGAGCTCAGACTTGAAAATCCTCGACTCTGAGCCGGACCCGCCGCTCATTGACACCGATGAGATCTTGGAGGGTCCCCTCAGCACCATAAGCCCCAGCTCCGACCTGAAGCCTCCGGAGGAGTTTGACCAGCAGCTGGGGGCGGTGGCTGATGTCACCAAGCAGGCGTCGCTGTCCTCTGATGCAGGGGTGGAGTGTGCAGATGTGGAAGTCGGTGCCGTGAAGGCCATCTCCAACCTGGACGCTGCCAGCGTCACGTCGGACGCCGAGAAGTCCGACGATGGGAAGGAGGTCGGGAAGGAGCTCCGGAAAATACAGACGACCTCCACCCAGGTACCAGCTGTCCGCACGCATTCATCCGCATATTATGGCAGATCGAATTCTTGAGCTGCGCAGGTTTTAGACTGTATTCATGTTTTAGCATTAATCTAACTTGTCTCCGATTAGTGGTACACAGAGCATGCCTACATTGGTGGCTCAGAGCCAGTGGTACACATTCCACATTCCTACAACTCGAGCCAGATCATCTATAGGATAATCACTGTTTATTTATTGAATCAACTGCCACTCGTGATGCAAGCACTCTCATTGCAGTGCCATCCAGTTGTATACTTTTGGTGTGGATAGAACTTCCTAAAGTTTTTTTTTTCCTGAAGTGCAATGATGGATTTTGTGTTTCAACCAACATGTCATTGTTTAAGCTTATGTTTTCATAATCTTCCCACAAGCACGTTATTCCTTGTGAGTTAAGCTATATTTAATATTCTATGGCCTTTAAACAATATATGTTATAGGAGAGTGAGTAAACGTTTAACACGTCTAGTGGTGCTCTTGGCAGAGCGAGTGTTTGACTCCCAGTTGGAATTCCGTGAATTTAATTTCCTGTCTGGGTCAACTCAGCCCACCATCTCTCTGGGGTTAGTCAATTCACTCTGCGGGACACTAAAAGTGATCATCCTTTCGAGAAATCTACTCCCACCTCATTAAGAAATGCTGAATTGTCACCGCTGACCGTATTTGAGAACTGTCTCGGATTTATTTGGACATGGGAAACGGCTTACAGCTTGAGACTCTGAGAGTTCATAGCGGTTCACGCTCGTTCGAAATGCCCGCACGCAGTCGATGCAGCAGGGCAAGGCGGGCCTGGTGAAGGAGCGGGATCTAGGCGTGGACCTGGGATTTCGCGGGATGCCCATGACAGAGGAGCAGCGTCGCCAGTTCAGCCCAGGACCCCGCACCACCATGTTCCGCATCCCAGAGTTCAAATGGTCGGCCATGCACCAGCGCCTGCTCAACGACCTACTCTTTGCCCTGGAGACAGACATTCACATCTGGAGGAGGTGGGTGAAATCAAGAAAAACATGCGATTCCTCAGTGAGCGGTTGTTTGGAGATACACAATATGGAGGTCGTAAGGGATCAAGGTACAGGTGGCAGTCCCTGCAATTTCTTTGTCACGGAACTGCTGGCAGAAGGGTCTCCACTCGAGTGAGCTCTAGAGAGCCCCTCCAGAGGATATTTTGCCTGACGGAGGTCTTGTAAGAGGTGGGGAATACACACACTTTACTCCACTACGCAAGGCCTTCCGATCGTCTCACTGTGTTGTACCCATTTGTACTGCTGTATAAAAAGTGCTCGCAATAATTGTGCTCTGTTTTGGAAAATCGTGGGAAATAAATGAACAGTTGAATAGGTGTTTAACACGTAGGCTTTCACGACTATGAGTTAAATGGGTGTATTTACTTGTTTGGATGAACTGAGATTTAATCAGGAAAGCAATGGGACTTCCTGATCTGCCGGTAGCATTGTGTATACAAGTCAAACCCTGTGCTGGCTGTGACTCAGCCCTTCGTAAGCCACCGACACGTGACACACGGCGATTTGAACCCCACCATGTTGTTGGGTGGAGTAGAGGTCACTGCATTGCATTCATTTATTTTACCCGTAATTGACTGTAGTGTCTTATGCATCATCAGGTTGCACTCGTTACACACAGAGTGCTTTCCACAAATAAACCACAACATTTTTCTGATTTCGTTAAAGAGCATAAACCATCATGCAAACTCCGGTCATCCTCGCAGCGGCTTTTGGCTATCCATTGAACAAAGACGGTCACTGCATCACGCGCTTTCAGATGCGCTTCTCCGGCCATATGAAATGCTCTTCCTTTCCTATATTAGGAAGCCACTGGAGCTATGTACTTTAAAATCATCTATATTGATAACTCATTTCTTTAGAACTGCCTTTTGTGTTCAGTTTGTTTTCCTTCCCCGGCCCTTCCAATTAGCACGGTTGGCTACGTACGGTGCGAAAGAAGTTCAACATACATAGATCATGATGTTTCAGAGAATCCCGGCTATGTTTCTGATACTGAGTGTGGCATTAGCCTGATTGAAAAAAGTTAAAAAGATTGGTCCAAATTTAATGAAATGCCCATGTATGTTGAACTTCTTTGTTGAACTACGTAGCCAACCGTGCTAATCGGAGATGAACCGCAAGGCTAAAATCGCTCTAAAATCTCTCTAAGGAACGGGAGCTTGTCAGCGACGTTTGAGGCCACCTCCCGCTGCAATCCTGTATTCAATTTTAACTCGCTCAGAAATTCTCATTTTTGCCAGATAAAGCAAAAATCCCCGTAGGCTAGCATTCTTTAAGGTTTCTCGGCTGGAGCCCTTTCCTTTCTGTCTGGTTAGGTCTCACCTCCCTTGCAATCAAGGCATTGCCTTAAAGGCTGAAAGATCTGGGACTCTAACCAATGAACCTTGACCTCGGAGGCGCGGAAGCTACCACCAGACCGGAACGCTCGTGAGCGTTCGGGCTTTCATCGACCCGTGTTGTGAAATCATGACCTTGTTTCGGGTGCTGGAGCTCTCCGTAGTTATCAACAGCTCCTTTGAGAGGCGCTGCACTCGTCCCGAGCTGGCTGTCTCGCAAACAAACACAATGAGGGCTTCTCTTTTGTATGGCCTCGGCAGATTGGGGCCACATTTTACGGCACCTTCATGACACGTGATCAAAGGTGGCCGACGATCTCGGATAATCTGAACTGCAGCGTGTTGTGATGTGTCATTCATAACACCTGCGCTAGTGTTATTTTTGTTTGCGGTGTGCGGTGGGAGCTGCGGTGCAGCGGTTATCATCACCTCTCTGCCGCAAAAAAACGGTGACTTGAAATCGGTTCCATGAGTAACATAACGGAGGCGGGCGATATCGCAACGTCTCCCTTGGTTCACTCGCCCTTAAATGAGTACCTGATACAGTCTGTGAATGTCAGCACTTGACAGACAAACGTGGCCAAGCATGGTGCTGACCACCCCGTCGGGTGATATGCCGGCCTTAAGAGGTGCTCATTCAAAGTACTTTTCCCCCAGCAGTCTCTGTGGCCACAAGGCATTTTATGTGGTGGGTTTCTAGAAAAACCACCAATTAGTGGGACTGTGCCTACCTTCATAGGCGTCCGCTTACAACACATGCTGCGGCAGTCTCTTAGGCTATGACGGGGAATGTTTGCCTCTGTGTGTGCTCCTCGTGTACTGCCCCGGGAGGGTGCTATCAAGTGCTTCCTCCTGTTTCAGCCACACGACGAAGACAATCATGGACTTCGTCAACAGCAACGAGAACATCATCTTTGTGCACAACACCATTCACCTCATTTCCCAAATGGTGGATAACATTATCATCGCCTGTGGGGGCATTCTGCCCCTGCTGTCTGCTGCAACTTCCCCTTCGGTGAGCATCCCCCCCCATCCTCCTCCTCCTGCCTTACAGCTGCGCATGAAGCACCTTGAATCAGAATCAGAAAATGTATTTAGACTGGAGGAATACGATGAGCTACAAAGCATTTTTCCCCTGGTGTACAGGAGGGGTGGGTAAGAGCGCTACAACAATAAACAATACAAAACACACGATAGTAGTGTAAAGTACAAGAAAGATAAACAAATCACCCAAACACAAACAAACAACACTCAACCATCCCCATCCTACCAGGCAAAGCCCACCGAGGTATTAACATATTTTTCAGAAGCAACCTGACCACAAATGATAGCTCAACAAAGTGGTCCATCATTTGGACTTTTCTAGCACCAAAATAATCTAAATAATCTCAATGCAAACTTCTAAATGTGAGGAGAAAAGCCGGAGGAACCAGAGAAAAAATTCACGCGACCACGGGGAGAACATGCAAACTCCAAATGTATGTCTTTCACTTCTTACCCAAGACTCTAGTCCTGGACTTCACATCACGGTTGTTATGCAGAAGCATCATAATCATCATCATCAGCACTTTGTATTTTATGTTGTGGAGAACACGAGACACAAAATAAATAAGCAGACGATGTGCCTCCTTTCAATATCTGTCCCTCTACCAAAGAATATAACTGGCCCAGAGTTTGCTTGTGTTGTTTAAATTATGCATTCCCAGAAGGCTGTTCACCTGATGGGATGTGTCAGAAATCCTTGCGTGTTTTTTGTTGTTGTTGTATATCTAGAGACAGATATGTGAAGGCGGCGGCTTGTCTGCTGATTTATTTTATAGGACAGCAGCTTGGCTGAAAGGGGGATGGGTGACCCAGAATGAAGGACATAGTTACCTCAGCCAACAGTGTCATGGGAACAATACGTTTAATTATCACACGAGGTAGCTGAGTGCGTGCTTGCATGATAATGAAATACATTGCTCGTGTCAAGAGGCTGGATTTGAGAATGTGCACCAGACAAAAAACGGCAAGGCGACCAAACACACAGCCATCTAGCCCACACCACACAGTGCACGATAATTGTGGTACTATAAATACGATCTATTGATACAATTTGAAATCCGATTATAGAGTTTAAAAGCTCATGGCTGAGCCAGAATATTTACTGAAATTAATGATGCGCATGAAATTATTCTGATAGATTCATCAATTCAAATCAAGCACTTTGCTTCAAGTGCACGCACTGCATCACAAATTTAGGCACCCTTTACTCCAAACTCACACGTGCACGCGGTTCATGAAGATTCAAAATGTTTGTGTAAACTTCACAAAATATTCTATATTTAATTTACAGCTTTCGTGACTGCAGGGATTCATATTCTTGGTGCTTTCGGTAAAGTCACGTAGAAGGGAAATAATAAAATAAAGCAAATATATTATATTGTTTTATATTTTTATTATTTTATTATTTCCTTTCTACGTGACTTTACCGAAAGAACCAAGAAAATATTCTATATTGAAATGGAACCAAAATGGCGCATTGACAAAACTTTAACATTCACACTGCCTCGTATAGCATTCGGTCTTTCTAAAAATCACTGATTGTGTTTTAAAAAATGGTATTCAGTTACTGCTTGTTTTTGAATTAATCCGATTTCGTGTTCTCTCCTGTCTTTTGCCTTTTTCAGGGTTCAAAGGTCAGTAACGATTCTCTATTCATCATCTTGTCATCTTTCAGACCAGTAGGCTTGTTGACATTTACATACATTGTTATGCTTTGTGCTGCAATCAACGTTGCAAATGTTGTCTCATTGTGTGCCACTTCACCGAATTCGAAATAAATACCATAATGGTGCTTCCATTAATTTTAGTTGTATTATGAGCTTGATTGCCATGTGACTCGCATGGCCTTTGTTCACAACAATTGTCAACCATGCAGACCTCGAATGATGACATTGTATTAATTCCAATAGACGTAAATGTGTGGTGGCTCGAACACAAAACAAAAGTCTACTTTTACCATCCAAAATGTATTAAAATGTATTATTCAGGTCAGTGGTAGTATGGTTAGAGCGCTGAACTATATTGTAAGCAGAGTGAATTCAAACTAAGTGATGAGGTTGACATCGTGTATCATCCCGCCTGGGTTCATAAAATGGGAAACTCTGTGGTAAGTCAACAGTGGCCTTTTTGTGCAGAGCCCGGCTCTGCTACAGGAATGTGGAATTTTCACGACTGTCTCAGTGTCACTAAAGTTCGTGCTCCCCTCCCATTCAGCAGGGACACAATGACTTAATTTAAACACGACCGAGGTGCTTATTTCCCTAAAGAAGAAAGATTGTAATCGATGTGCAATATCTTGTAATAACACGCAAGGGTCAGAAGCCGTAGACATTGACACAAAGAGACGGAGCTAAAACCGCGACAAGTTGTGTAAAGCAGCACGGAGGGATGCATTCTTGGAATTAGACAAAGATGTAGCGTGAGAAACAACGGGATCGGAGAACATACGCAAGTCAGGGACACGTGACGGTGACTTTAAAGGAAATAATGTGGGCTTGGGCAGGACACGTTCGCTGAAGGGGAATGACTGCCAACGGGATTACCGGTGGCGTGTGTGACGGCCGAGAGAGCGAACCCCACCGAGAGGACGTCCGCCATGGAAATGGAGCGAGGGGATCAGGTGGCTAGGTGGATTGTTGCGTGCATTTCGAGGCTGTGATGTTTGGCATCCGCTTGCGGATACCTACATCCAGCGCCTCCGATTTGCACGGTTGGCTACGTACTTTGGGAAAGCGGTTCAACATACGTACATACAGGTTTGCTGATGATGATTGTGTCAATCCACTGCTAGATGAAGTTCAAGTTCATTTATTAGGTAAAGCCCTGTGAGTCATTCGGCTCGGTTATTTGACCAAACACTGCCATGTTGGTTTGCGGAGTATGGTTTTGGACAAATTCAGGTTATCACTAACCTTTGATGTTAGCCATGGCTGGGGAATCGAACTCAGGGACTTGTTTGTAATGTGTATTTGTTTTGAACTTTTGAAATCAATACGAATCGTTGCACATTGTGTTGTACCTTCTTCTTTGTATTGTCCACGTACTGATCGCTTGTGCCAAGTGTTCCATGTGCTTCACTCATCACACATTTATTTTCTCTCCGGTCAATGTCGGCAAAACTTTATCTGCCACCATTAACAAGCAATGGCTTTAACATAATCATCGCGCTTTTGTTAATTTATCGAATTTAAATGATACATTTATTAACAACTTTAATATCATTTAGATATCTGACTTTTGATGAGTCATCGTGTAATAAAATCTGAATGCATCCAATTTTCACCAATCTCATTGCAATTACTCATTTTCGTAACGGTTAATCTGTCTTCAAGTGATTTTGTTTTGAAATGACAACTTGGCCTCGTGCAATGGCAGAGCGCTAGAACCACTGCTGCAATGGGAACCGACAGAGCCCCTGTGTTGGAATCCAAGTGCTGGTTTGTGTATCAACTAGGTTTCGGGGAAATAGACTAAAAAATTGGCTTAAAAACAGCTTGGGTTTTGGGTGTAAAACAAAGTTAAGTTCTTTACCAGTTACCAACAACTTGACAAAGGAACCATTCAGTATTGCATTTGTTTCTTTCACTAATAATCCAATTCACTGTACGATTAAACATTGTGGTTTGATTGACAAAACATTGGGCACTATCAGGAGCCCCGTGCTGTATGGACGCTCAATAAATTCTCGTCACCAAATGATGTAAATGGAAGAAAAATGTAAAAAAGGGGTTTTCAGATAATTGAGTCATTTCATTTGCTGAACTATGCTTTCATCGCTTCAGTGATCACTGTGTGTGTGTTATCACTGTGTGTGTGTGTGTCATCACTGTGTGTGTCAACACACGCGTGTCCATGAGTGAGAAAGCAGAGAAAGCAGAGACATTGCACGTTGTAAATTGGACTTCTGATTATCGTTGCACACACACGTGACAAGAAAACCACGTTTTATTGAAGACAATTTCTTCAGCATTTTCTCAAATATGAAGTAGTAGTATTCTCAAGTGGATAATAAGCTGTGTCCTTGGATTCCAAGACATCCTAAAATAGAATTGTGATTTGAGGGTTGCAAGGAATTTCACGGCAGGAATGGGGTAAGCAACTTGTAAGTTTGGCACAGAACGTGGCTCGAATTTTCGTCGTTTCGGACGCAATCGGGAAAAAGAGGAGGTTGCGATGGGCTCAGTGCCACATGCGTTAGGTGAAGGGGCAGGAATTACGCGTCGCGCCCAGAGGTCGGATGGCGAGATACCGAGAGGGGGCATTGACTGATGGACTATGAAACAGCTGTGGGAGATGTGGGCAGTTTTCGGTGGCAACAATGGAATTGGCGATATTGACCGTTTGGATAAAAAAAAACAGTATTTGGGGGGGGGTGGTTGGGTGTGGATAACCAAAATTGGTTAAAATTTGCAAGAAAGCTATCCATAAATGACGTCACGCACCTGGGGGGTGGTCAGACATTTGCGACGACGGGGGGGGGGGGGGGGGTGAGAAATGTGACGTCACATCAAAATGCGCAACTTTAAATAAATATAGACAACACGTTCTACTTAATTAAATAGACTTTTTGATAAATGTTTTCTCCTACAACATCAGAGTACAGCTGCACATTAACTACGCACTACAATGACAATAGTTTAAAGCGATTTGAAGCATGTTTTATTTTGTTGGGGGGGGGCAGAGCTTTGTGACGTCATATTTGAGTGGGGGTCTGACTTGTTGTGACGCCGTGTGACTAGGGGGGGGGGGGGGGATAAAAAAATTGTCCAAAATCGCGTGACGTCATTTATGGACGGCCCCTAAGCCAAAGTAAGTGGACGGCGTGTGAGCAAGGTGCTGCCGTGCAGAGAAGGGGCGGGTTGTGCAGAGTCGATGAGAAACACCGTGACGTGACGCCACCTACAGCTCGTAACGACTCGGTGCCCTTGGGGGGGGGGGGTGGTGGATTTGCCAAGGAGCTTCATCAATAAA